ACTAGGAAAGAGACCTGAATTTTGTCCAGGAAGATCAACTTTCACAGAGTACTTTTTAAAAAAGTGGTTAGAAAATAGGAGATTAATACCCAAGAATAGCCGAGATAAGTACCAGGAGGATTACTCCAAGGCTTAGAGACCAGCCGGGCATGCTAGGGGAAAAGGCAGCTCAGATAGAGAAGGGAGCACCAAATAAAGGATGTTGGGAGGATCCTCCCAGGACAGGAGATGCATGTTGAAAGTAGACTATAGACCAAACATGATTGCCACTCAATGCCTCTTTTGCAGACCACAACACCCAAAAGGAGAGAGAGAACAAAAGGGAATGCCCTGCCACAGAGGCAGGGGGATGGGGGGAATAAGGGGTTGGAGGGATACTGGGATCAGTGATGGTGGAGAATGGGCGCTGGTGGAGGGATGGGTACTCGATCATTGTATAACTGAAACCGAAGCACAAAAATTTGCAAGTCTACAACTGTACCTCATGGTGTTTCACTAATAAAAATTTAAAAAAAAAAAGTGGTTAGGACAAAAGTTCCTAAAGATGGTATGAGGGAGCATGTGGCATGACCCCTAGGTAGGAAGAGTCTGCTAATGAGACCGTGACAGTCAGTCTGTCCAATCTCCAGGGTCCTTCTGCCTCAATGTCCCTCCTGCTGCTGTCCTTGCAGAGGCACCCAGCCTCCCTGAGATACATGTCATTTCTTTACGGATGTAAAAATACTTAGTTGGCTTCACAGTGAGGTTTTGCTGTCCTGAAGCTCAGTCTTTCTCCTCTGGTTGACTTTGTCATCCTCTGTCCTCTTTCTTAAATGTTGGTCTTTAAATTGGATTCTTAAAGAACAAGCCCATTCCCTTTCCCAAGTTCCCAGGAAAGCAGCCCTCATTTTCAGATTCATCCCTTACGTATTAGCTTTCTAAGATGGTATCTGCCCATGACTTGAAGCCAGGCATATCCACTTAAATGTAAAGCCCACTCTGAAATGAGTATCCCAAATTTCCAACTCTCTTTCAGCCTTCTACTAAAGAGTTCTTTTGGGAAATGTGGCCAGGAGTACCTTTTTCAAAAAGGGTCATCTTGTAAATGTGGTTTTTTTTGCAGTCATCCCTCTTAGTCCAGGAACAGAAAAAGCTTGGCTGTCACAAGGGAGTAGATAGAATACAGAAATAAATATAGAGATTTAAGGGAACTTAAAATTTTTGCTTTGGGGCTATATCAATGTGCTGAAGGCTCACTCCTCCTAGCTTTGCACTCAGGGATCACTCCTGCTAGTGCTCGGGGGACCGTGTGGGATGCTGGAGACAACTCAGGTCAGCGATGTGCAAGGCAGCCTCTACCTGCTCTTCTTCTTTCACTCTGGTCTGGGAACTTAAAATTCTTTTCTGTTAAACTCAGATCCACCATGTTTCCTGCTAGCAATGTTAGGCTACCTCTATCTGACCGTGGGCCCCTTCCGACCTTGGTCCTACTTGTTGGCCTCCTAGTCAACTGCCAGCTGCCCATTCCCCTCACCCAATTTTTATCTGTAACCTTCTTGAAATATCCTGGGGACCCATAAGGGGGGTATTTCTCGGCTGGCTCCCAGCTGAGAAACACTGATCAGAACACTGTGTTCAAAGTATACAAAATACTGAGTGAGTCTCCCTTACCTTCACAATTAGCCCTTGTACATGGATGAAGGAAGATGAAGATGCAAATTTGTGCTAGAACCGGCATCTTTTTTTTTCTCATGAGCTGGGAAGATGTTTTGCATACAGGAGCATGCCAGTGTTCAATGTTCATGGCCAGTATCACATAGTATTGTTGAAGTGGCCAAACACTAAAACACAAAAATATTCTAGCGGTTCATTAAGCCCTGCCATCTTTCCTATCTCCTGCCAGCCCAGAAAATACGATATTGTAGGGGTAGTTTGAATTTGTAAATATAGCCCAAACATTTTTTATTCTTACAGACTTCTCCCGATTTGATGTCTCAGAAAACATTTATCAATAATAAACATTTTAAAATATTCTTCCAGTCCCTTCATGTATTTTGCAAACTTTGCTGCAAATCTTCAGCTCGTTACTCTATATATAACAACCACATTCATTTCTCAGAACACACCTGTCAAGTACTAACAATATTTTCTTACTACAATGTATAACATTGTATAACATTGTAATTTATATGAATTACATAGCTGTTATCATTTGGTGATTATCATTTGTGTTAATATTTTAGCCATCCTACTTTAACTCCTTAATGGTCACTGGTTGAATGGTGAGTGCAGGGGCCAGAGCAACAGTAGTGGGTAGAGCATCCGCCTTGCATGCGATAGAGCTGGGTGCAATCTCTGGTGTCCCATATGGTCCCCGGAGCACTGCTAGGAGTAATTCCTGAGTGCAGAGGCAGGAGTAACTCCTGAGCATTGCTGGGTGTGACCCAAAAAGGAAAAAAAAATAATAATGAATGGTGGGTTCATGGAGATAAAAATCTTAAAATTTTATTACTACTAAAACTACCAGATCCTTATATAACTGTTGAGGGAAAATAATTGTCAACCAACAGTTGTCAACCAGCCATACTATTCCTTAAGAAAGACAAAAGACATTTACTAACATTCAGAAATCAGAAGGGGAATTGCTGATTCTAATGGGAGAATTTGAAGTATCTCTTAAAAACGAAAGAATATTAGACAAAACAAATTAGTAAAATATGTAAACAGAAAATGTAACATAAAAATGAAGAATGATGAATAAACGTTCTCAATACATATGGCTGATTTAAAGAGTGGCCATGTACTAAACGATATGGTGCTAGTACTCCAAGGTACAGATCACAGATTCCAAAAAAGCAGAACACACTCTTATCACAATGCAACATACATAGCAAAATTCATCAAAAATTCACCAAATGAAATACTAATTTTTGGTGGTGTCAGGAATCAAACACATAGTATAAATTCTATACTAAGTCATACCTACTCCCCTGAAACATTGCTTTAGATGGAGAAAATAAGGATATTATGTATGAATGAATGCAATAGTTTTTTGTTTTTTGGCTCACTCACAGCCATGCTCAGGGCTTTTCCTAGCTCAGCACTCAGGAAATCAGTCCTGGTGGGACTGATTTGGGGGTGCCGAGGATGGAACCCAGGTTGGTCACGTGCAAGGCAAGCACCTTACCAGTACTACTGCTCTGGCTGACCCCTGAATGCAGTTTAGAAAAGTAAAAAGATTGAACTTGGTGCTCAAGTAGGAAACAAACACTGGAACAGTGATGTCAAACTGTTAAAAAGTTCAGCAGATTAGATGACTCTAGCAAAGTATCACTTGCTGTGGGAAAGGAGTGTGAATGGCTGTCATCTCCAGGTGGCTAGGGAGCCCCATGGTTGTCTCTTGCTGCTTGCGTTCGGTGGACTCGGGCCACTCACCCATCCGGGATGGCCGATGCCAGGGGCAGACAAAGGAGAAAAAAAAATGTTCTCCAACATTCTAGGCAGAAAGTGGGCCCTGGTGTAGCCCAGCTCCTGGCAATGGGTGACAGATACCTCGGTACCTACATTGAGGGACTCGGGCACTGGGCCATCCGCGTGCAGGATGGAGCTGCTGTGGCAAGGAATTTCTCCCACCCCTTAGGCCAAGCCTGCGGCCATGCTGAAAAATGCTCATTTTGGATAGCCACTCTGACCCTTGCTGTCTACACCCACCAAGCTAGACCTCAACTCCTACTTGAGCCACACTTGTCCAGGGCCTACTCCGGGCCTACACCTAGGCCCACGGCAGCCCACTGCTTAGTGCTTTTAAAGCTCACCTGGAAGCCACAGTGGTTCCAGAGGAAAAAAGCTTCCCCATTTTCCAGACGAACCCCTCACCTTCCCACTAAGGTTCCCAGGAAGGAGTTCCTTGTCTGCACTCTGGCACCAGGGCCTCACCGCAGGGTTCCCGTCTAGAAGTGCACTGAGACAAATCTCTCCAGCTAAAGGAAACTGCCAGTCACATTGGGGTAAGTTTCCAGGCTTCGGAGTTTCAGTGCTTGGGCTATCTGCCCTAAAACTGGGTAAATTTACTCATTTCTCACTTTTTTGTTTTTGCGCCACACCCGGTGACGCGCAGGGCTTACTTCTGGCTCTGCGTTGAGAAATTACTCCTAGTGGGGCTTGAGAACCACAAGGAGTACCTTGGATGGACCTGGGTCAACTGTATGCAAAGCAAACTCCCTCCTGCTGCATATTGCTGCAGCCCCTACTCACATTTCTTGAGGCTTGAAGAGGATGCCAGCAGTCTGATGCCTGGTGGGGGCCCTCTTTCCAGTTTGCAGAGTGCAGCCTTCTGGTTCCTTGTGGAATTGCGACTTAGGTGCCTCAGTGACAGCATATGCATTAGCCTCCTGGCCTCTAATTTTATGAGGACAGCCATGACTATATTTAAAACCAAGTACCTCCAAATACCATCACACTAGGACTTAAATATACACACAGAACGGTCTGCTTTTGTATATGGCCACATTTTAAAAACCAGTTGAACAGGGATGTTTTTAATGTGTGTAGCTAAACAGTATTTCCACAGAAAGGAGAGAATGTCTCAGGAGGATTTCTTTATACAATACAGTAGGATATGCCAAATTAACTTTTCTTTGGCTAAGTAGAAATTTCTAATGATGCTTTCATCTGAGTAGTTTTGTTGAGGTTTGAAGAGAACCAGTCAGCTGACCTAAGAATTTTTGTCAGTAGCTCTCTACACTAAAAAGCAGAGGTCCCTAAAGAGCCCTGTAATACAGAACCGGTAAGCACGTCACAAGTCAGTTGGGGAGAGAAATGAGGAGGCATACTGCCATTTCTATTGGTATGTAGAGGCCCTGTGCCTGAAACAGAACTGTGTCGCTACTGTCCAATAGCCTGGACCTCAATTTTGTACATGACCACTTGTCAAGAGCTCTCTGGACCTTAATATAGGTGAACATAATTATGTTTCTGGGGAAAAAAATGATACCTGAAAAGTCACTTTGCTTTAATTTCAGGACAGAATTCCATGGCTCTGCAAATTACACGATTTATTACTAAGGTAAGAGAGGATGAGGCTTTGGCTTAAGCCAGTGAGTACAGAAAGCCTAGCAGAAAGTGCAAGAGGAAAACAGGTTCTTGAAATCGCAACACACAGATGACAGAGCTCAGAATAGAACACACTTCTACCAAGTAACTAATGATGAGTTTTTTGTTGTTTTTGTGCAACACCCAGAGGTGCTCAGGGCTTATTCCTGTCTCTGTACACAGTAATCACTACTCTCCAGCTCAAACCCAGTACAGTCATGTGCAAAAGCAAGTACCCTACCCACTGTACTCTGGCCCCCTCAACGATAATTTTAATCAGGCATAAACATGTAGCTTAGCTGGATTCTAGAGATAATCCTTCTAAACAGCTCCACAACTATTAGCAGGGAATCTTGGTCAGACACATGGCTTTCATAGTCTGTTTCTTCATCTGAAAATGGGGATAAACATCTCTACTATTTTGAATTATTGATAAGATGAAGCATGATTAACACCTATAACAGTATCTAACATACAGTAAATGCCCAAACAATATCCAATGAATAGTAGCATTGTTTCAGCTGTATCTTAATACCCTTTCTTCCCCCTACTGAGCCCAGAGAACTTAAGATCATTTGGCCACCAGAATTGGAGTCTCCAAATGTCCAGCTCTGTAGCATACCTCCTCCACACATCTGCTTTGATAGCAGGGAATTCTGGTTAGAATACGGAGTAAAAAGAAAAGACAGGGTGTATGCTATAAATTTTGCTTTGTAAGATGAACTCCTTTTTTAGGAGCTAGTATCATCTGAGCTAATGAAAATACTTTTGAAACTATTTATGGTTTTGAAACCACTGTTCTTTACTCACAGCACACTGGCGGAGGCGTCAGCCTCGTCTCTGGATGAGTCTAAGATTTGGATGTCTAGTTTAGAGCTCCAGGATTTAAGAACTCTCAACCAGGCCCAATGTACCAACCTGAGATGGAAGCAAAAATGATCATCGGGGAGCTAGAGCAGAGGCAGACTCGGAATAAGCATGCTTCCACACCCCCTCCTGCAACATGACAGAAGATCCAGACACGTTTATTGTTCTGTCTACTTGGCCCGCAGACTATGTTGGTCATTAACACCAAGGGCCCCCTAAGACTCCACAGCTCTAATGTGAACCTGGCCTTATGTGCCCACGCTAGCAGTTAACCGTCTCCTCTATACTGGAGTTCCTCCCAATCCCCCAAGATGTCAGGGATGGGTGCAACATGGTTCTGGGTAGAAGCCATGGCGCAGTCTTCTGCTGTCTTTGACCACACACTGATTTTCCCTTGTCATTTGCCTCTGTGTTGAGCTTCTTTGCACATGTCTCATATTCAGCTCACCTTGACCACAGAGAGCAGAGGCCTCTCTTCATGCTTTTTACAGCGATATACTGGGAGCCTCCCCAGGTTTTTTCCCATCATACTGTAGTATTAAGAATTGGGAGAAATCAGTTGTGAAATTCCTATCACTGAACACCCACGGACGGAGAACCTGAACGTAGCTCTGTGTTTTGCACAGCCTCCTGGCAGTTGATCCACAAACTATGACTGAGCTGATACTGCATAAGTGTACAGGAGCGAAACACCTGGAGAGCACTTACATAAGAGGCACTAGGATAAACTTTTTCATTAGCAGAGTAAAAAATGCAATCATCACTTTAACTCCCCCAAATCTTATTACTATTGTCTGTTCCTGACACGAGGCCTTACTAATAATTAACATTTTGATTCTATATTTTATGCTGTATTCTTATAATAAAGATGTTAAGAAAATCATATGGGAAATAAACTCACTGTATTGTATTGTATAATTTTATAAGAAAATTCCATGTTTATAAGAAAATCCAAATATAAGTGGACCCACGTTGCTCCTGGCTGAACTGTACTTTAAATGCTTTCATTCCTTTGCCCGACTTTTTAAACAGAGATGTAACTTCAGGACAACCTGTGGTACTAGCATGTTCGGCTCTTAAGAAAATGTACAGAGACATCTTAATCCGAGGAAAAGACAAGACATCTCAGAAGTCTGCTGAGTCTGCTGGGAAGGAGGAAGCGCCAGCTGAGGTGCAGCTCCTGGTGGTATATCTCAGTGGGTCATCAGAGGTTATTGCTGAACGTTTATGCAAAAGAAAGGGCCATTTCATGTCCCCTAATTTACTGCAGTCCCAATTTGATACTCTGGAGCCACCATCAGCTCCAGAAAATTTCATCCAAATCAGTGTGGACAAAAGTCTTTCAGAGATAATTACTACAATCATGGAAACAATAAAACCAAGAATCTTTTCTAGTCAGTAGTTCAAAACAGAATTAAGCAAGAATCTCAACCCCATTCCAGATCTTGTTCAGTACTGTATTCTAAATTAAGGTAATCGGTATGCGCTTGTTTGGGTGTACCTTTAGGAATCTGTGATGCTGTTGTGCATTGGTAGATGAGAAGGAACTTTGAAAGTAAAAGCTTCAAGAATTCATGTGACTCAATCAAGTGATTAGAGTAACAATGATCATTAATACTGTACATCATAATCTTTTAAACATTCTGATCATTTCTGTATTCAAATAAATTTTGACTATCCTGGCAACCTCTGGAAACTGGTACAAAACAATCACCAAGTTATTCATACCCCTTTCTTGAGTTACTTTAAAATAAACAAAACACACACACAAAGTTCACAATTATATAATAAATTGCAAGACAGAACTCGAGTGAACAGCTACCAGACAGGTATCAATATGACTATCCTGCCATGAAAGACACCACTCACCCTTCTAGGCAGACACTGGGGAATAGCACCACGCTGCTTTAGTCATGATACCAATGGGCAGTGATGAGCAGAGCCAGTTGCTGGGCAGTGTGAAATGAAGATTCATTCCTGGCATCAACTGAACATGTAGGGAAGCAGAATCTTACTGTCACGGTCAAGTTAAAGCTTTTAATATGGGTGTAGAAATAAGGGTCCGTATTCTCTGTCCAAGCCAGTGTCGCAGCACCTAGCCACTCTGCTTGCCTGTTGGTTGGCCTGGCCAGAGGAGCTCTGGAATCAGATAGTTTTCTTTCACAAAGGCAGTCTCTCAAGAACTACATATGTAATGTATGAGGTATTGATGGAACAAGTGGAATGAAAGGGCCCTTCTGGTGACTGGACCAAATGCAGCAACTGTATTCTCTCTGCCACGCTATTTATTTAGGGCACCATATGCCAATCTCTTGTTTATATATTTAAAGTTGAGGCCATGAAGTTGTCCAGTCAATACATCCTTGCTGGGTGAGTAATCTCCACAATTAGAGGAAAGATCAATGCATTGTTCTTAGTGCAATACTGGATGTTGTGATAGTCACCAGGGGGGACTTGAGGCGCCAAAGCCCAGCATCTCTAGTAGCTGGGCGGGAAGGTGGGGTGAGAAGACAGATGATCTAAGTGAAGGACATACAGGAAGGATGTGAGAGGGGCCCTGAAAACAGATAAAGGGTAAAAGTCTAAGCCCCAGTTCCCATCCCAAACTAATGCAAAAGTGCTTCCTTTAATGCAAGACTTGAACCACACTGCACGACTCCTCCACAGATGTGCAATATTCTAGGTCTCAGCTTGTCCAGCTCCCCCACCCCCATACCAGGGACAAGGACAAAAAAAAAGAAATACAGTGGCTTTCAACCTCAGCTGCGATACACTTGCCTGAGGAACTTCCTCAGATGTCTTCCTCCCCATAACCTACCCAGCCAACACTGGTTATGAGGGGCTCAGGTGTCTGATACTGAAATCTTCACAGCAACACTGATGAGCAGCCTTGCGTGAAACTGCACGGTAACTTCTGACAACAGGACTATGCCTAGCTCTCAAAATTGTGCAGATACCACAATGCCACAACCAAAAGAGAGGCTTCTCAATAATGAAGTTCAGGGATGGACAGAGACATAATCTGGGACAGATGCACGGAACAACTTTAAAAGGTCATGGTCATCTATCAGCCTAAATGATGCTCTGGACAGGTGAGTAAGGGATTCATGGTCTGTACCTTTTAGTTGCTGATTTAACTTGGTGTAATAGGTAGAGGAAACCAAAGGGGGTAGGGGAACAATTCCTTTTTCCTACTAAGGATACTCTAAGTTATGATATGAGGCAGAGTAAACCACAGGTATTTTATAAAGTCTAACTGTTCTTCCCCTCACATATGTTTCTCTTAGCAGGGGGAAGTAGAGATTTTCAAGTTCTTTTCATTAAGTAAATACATAAGAGACTATGAAAAGAGTATAGAGACATTTGTCTATATAATCATTAAGTTTACCAGCATATGAATAAACAATACGGTTTACTCACACAATAATAGAGTATTACTCAGTCATAGAAAGGAATGAAGGCCTGTTACATGCTACAACATGGGTGAATGCAATAAGGCACTATGCTTTGTGAAAAAAGCCAAAAAGACAACATATTAGTTGACTATTTATGACAGGAAAATTCACAGAAAGCAATCAGTGGTTTCCAAGGAAGTAGGGAAGACAGGAGCTGGGCAGAATTTCTTTGGTGAAGGATGGGGGCGGGGGGGAATAATGAACATGTTCTAGAACTAACAGTGATACTACAATAACAATGAAATTACTAAGCACAACTGAAATACTTCAAAATGGTAAATTCTTAGCCAGCCAACAAAAGCAGAAAGGGTATTAATACATACACAGATACATATGTATATGTGTGTATATATATATATTTATACACACGTGTCTGTAGCACTGCACTGTAGCACTGTCCTCCCGTTGTCCATCAATTTATTTGAGCGAGCCTAGTAAACGTCTCTATTGTGAGACTTGTTACTGTGTTTGGCATATTGAATATATCCCAGGTAGCTTACCAGGCTTTGCCGTGCGGGTGAGATACACTCAGTAGCTTGCCAGGCTCTCAGAGAGGGGAGGAACAATCAAACCTGGGTTGGCCAGGACAGTTGTGTATAAGGCAAACGCCCTACTCGCTGGGCTATCGCTCCAGCCCAGTAGGTATTCATCGTGTCTGTATGAATATATATATATGTGTGTGTATATATGTATATATGTATATATACACACAGAATGCATATACTCAGAATGTGTGCATACACTCACAATCATGTATATGCGCGCGCGCGCGCACACACACACACACACACACACTCTCTCTCTCTCTCTCTCTCTCTCTCTCTCTCTCTGAGTGTGGCCCAAAACGAAAAGGCTATTCAGGCACATGTTACTCACTAATACTTCAAGCCAGAGACAGGAGAAATATCCACTGTGTTATAACCCTGAAGCTTGATGTTTTAAAATAAATTCAGTTATTTTGTTTGTGCAAGAGCAATGGTGGCAGGGGAAGCGGAATATAGCTATATAGCTAGAGCAGCTAGAATTTAAGTTTACTTTCCAGCACACATGGCTGTTAAATTGCTGGTTTTTCTTTTTTTTTGGAGGAGGGGGAGACTACAGTTGAGCATACCCGTTTGTCTCCACACAAAGACTTTTCTAACACAGCTACTTGTACTTTCTTATGAGCTGATAAGTTTCAAGTATTTTAAGAAAAATGAAAGCTGTAAGTTTAATGTCTTATTACTTCTCCATCTTCTAAAGGTCCAGCAATTCTTACTCAAATTCACGGAAAGCATCACAAATCTCACAGCTTAATGAGAGCGTTCTGCCATCTTAAATTTACCACAAATTTAATCCTGGAAAGGAAAAAATGTGGTTAAAGTATAGTTTTCTTCTGCAAAGTTCCTTTTTTTCTGGGGGAGAGATAGTGACAACTGCTTATTAAATATTGTAGAATAAATTTGGTACTGTACCTTACAGTCACACAGTACTTTTCCAGTCATTCTGAAGGGAATCCCCATTAGCCATTACCTTCACCATTTTATCCTTAGAGTACAATCTTTTTTAAAAATTTTTATTAGTGAAACACCATGAGGTACAGTTGTAGACTGACAAATTTTTGTGCTTGGGTTTCAGTTATACAATGATCGAGTATCCATACCTCCACCAGTGCCCATTCTCCACCACCAATGATCCCAATATTCCTCCCACACCTCACTTCTGTGGCAGGGCATTCCCTTTTGTCCCCTCTCCTCTCTCCCTCCCCCTCCCTCTCTCTCTCTCTCTCTCTCTCTCTGGGTGCTGTGGTTTGCAAAAGACTCACTGAGTGGAGATTACTTATAGTCTATAGTCTACTTTCAGCATGCATCTCCCATCCTGGGAGGATCCTCCCAATATCCTTTACTTGATGCTCCCTTCTCTATCTGAGCTCTCTTTCCCTAGCATGTGTGGCTGGCCTCCAAGCCATGGAGTGAACCTCCTGGTACTTATCTCGGCTATTCTTGGATGTTAGTCTCCTATTTTGTTACTTTATATTCCCCAGATAAATGCAATCTATGTCTGTCCCTCTCTTTCTGACTCATTTAACTTAGCATGATAGTACCACTTGCAGTACAACCTTTTACTGTCTCTACGGATGTACACACATCTTGAATATTGCATATAAATGAAATGATCTCTGACCGAATTAGGTGTATTTTTAGGTTTCACTCATGCTTTATCAATACTTTTTTGCATTTTGCAGCTCAGTATCTATACAGAATATACTTTTTTTAAACTTGGTATTTCAAATTGAGGTACACTTGATTGTATATACCACGCCATACCATCAAATGCATCATTACTCTTCGCCAGCAATCAACCGGCTGTGGCCCTGGAGGATCCTGAGTCACCCTGAGTCACCATCAGGGTCCCTCAGGTAATCCAATTTGTTTCCCTGACACCTATCTTGACCACTGTTCCCTTCCTGTAACCCCTATTTTGTTGTCAAAGTATATGTCCCATTTTATTCAATCATCTCTTCTTCACCAGCCCAAGATCCTTGGTTTTCCAAGGCAATTCTCAAGTTATCTGCTGCTCCCAATATAAATAAATGGCCTACCCCCATGTATTTGCATCAAAGCTGGTGGCCTCCTGATTATCATCACCTCTCGAGGCTTCACGGTGGACTCGAGTCATCCCAAGCATGGTTGGACCTGGTTGGCCTGTTTGGCTGTAGAGACGGGTGAGTGGGGACACATGTGTGGCCTCCCGAACACCACTTGGGAGGACCTCTCTCCCTCACTAGAAAGTGCATCCAGAATAGCCACAGAGCCCCACTTTAACTCTGCATAGCCTATGCCCTCCAGAGGAGGTCAGTACTTGGCTGAATGAAGATGTTCCCAGCAGTATTTAGGAGAACATGGGCCTGGGAATCTGGGGCTCTTTCATGCAAAGCAAAAGCTACAGCCTTTGAGTCATCTTCCTCAAAGATGGCTTTAAACTCTATTTAAATATATCGTGGCTGTGAATTCTATTTAAAAATACTTATCTTGAACATGGGCTGGAGCGATAGCACAGTGGGTTGGGTGTTTGCCTTGCAAGTGCCCAATATGGCCGACCGGAGTTCAATTCCTCCGTCCCTCTCGGAGAGCCTGGCAAGCTACCGAGAGTATCTCGCCCGCATGGCAAAGCCTGGCAAGCTTTCGTGATGTATTCGATATGCCAAACACAGTAACAGTTGTCACAATGGAGACGTTACTGGGCCCACTCGAGCAAATCGATGAACAACACGACAGTGACAGTGATCTTGAATATACTTTTATTAACTATGTATTCTATTAAATAGGGTGAAGTCACGTCGATCGTAAAGCAGGTAGGGCAGGCCTACCTGCAGGTCTTGCACGTGGCCAACCCAGGTTCGATCTCTAGCATCCTGTGCAGTTTTCTGAGCACCGCCAGGAGTAATTCCTGAATGCAGAGCCAGGAATAACTTTTGAGCATTGCTGGATGAGGTCCTTTTAAACAAATCAAGAGATTTTGGGTCTTTAAACAGCTGTGGACTTTTGATCAAAAATACAGAGATCCCCTATGTATGTAAAGCTCTATAATGTCAAGCAAGGAAGACTAGATTGTAGAACCAGAGCAGGGTATGTTTTAATTAAGAAGTCAGAAAAATAATCGTTAGCATGCATAACTGAAATTACAACCTGAGGATGTGCTTCACTGTTGTCACTTATTTGGCTAGCTCAACCTATTCTACTAAATTTTGCTGAAGCAAAGCTGTCAGAATGAAGCACATTTCTAGAAGGGTTTGCCACACAAGAGCAGTTCAGGTAGGCATGATGAGAACCACCCACTCCTCCTGACAGGTGATGGCAGTTCCAACCAAGGGAAATGATAGCCAGAAGGACTAAGCAAACCTTTATCTCACGACTAACAAAGGTAAAATGGATACTTTATATTAACTTACTCTGCAAATCAATTTTTGTTTTGGCCATACTTGGCAAGTGCTCAGGACTTACTCCTGGCGGGTTTGGGGTCCATATGAGGTGCCAGGGATCGAACTCGGACTGGCCGTGTGCAAGGCAAGCACCCTACCCATTTTACTACACTGGCAATTAAATTTTAGCAGTAATTCCTCCCCCTTTGTAGCTCACTAGAAAGTAACCCTATACTCTCCATCTACACATACAAATTAGAATACAAAGATGCTATAGGAATCCCATCTCGGAATATCTCACTTTACTCTAACCAGAATTTTACCTTCAATGCTCTAGTCAAGGCAGTCCTTCACATTACTTCACAGGTCAAACTTCAATCCACGATGAATATTAGAAGAATAGCATGTAACAGTTCATTAACTTTCCCTGTAAAATTTTCTTACCTTCCTTTCAAGAATCTCTAGGTTCTCATCTTACTGCTTTTTTCATTTCCTTCGCTGGTTTCTGCTCATCTCCTTGAGTGAATTAGATAAACCAAGGCTTTATTTTTTCCAAGTGTGCTTAATAACATCCACTCTCTGAAATTTATCTATTCTAGATTTAAATCTTCATACTGTTCCTCTTTGGGACCAGATAAGTCTTGTGCTATTGAAAGCTGTCAGGTGCTTCAGAGAGTGTTTAACATCTCTGGCCTCTATTCAACAAGAAGCCATCAACAGCCCCAATCATGATGTCAAATCTCCAGACAATGCCAAAAGCCTCCTTGGAACACATCCTTTTGGTTGATATTTGTGATATAGGGTTCTTGGCTTTAAATAACCATCATTTATACACATGGAAGTTATAAAACTTGTTTAGATCTTGAACCTCTTCTTTAATTGCATATCTCTATGTGAATGCTTTATCACACGGAGATTCTAAGTCTGATTTATACTGCTCCCATAAGCTTCTCTACCATGTTAATCTACCTTTGTCTGATTGCTCTCATACTCTTAAGCTTCCATTTATCGGGCTATAAAACCTACTGCCTCTGCCTTCAAAATATACTCAACTCTTGACTATATCCTGCTCCCGCCAACCCAGTCCAGGCTGAATTCTCTCACTAGATTGTCACCTCATGGAACACTCTCTGCTTGTCCACCCTCGTCTCCCTAGTTATTCTCACCCGAAATCTTATTAGAAATACAATTTTCCTCCGATTCTAGAATCAACAATTCATTTTTAAACAGAAAACAATTACTGTATAAAGTCTTCCATCCCAAATACCCAAACCACTCACTATCCCCTTCTCACTAATTATATCTTCAAGACAACTTTCTTCCTAGCTATCCTGTCCACCTGGAACAACCTATATTCTAAAAACACACTCAGGAGTACAATTATATTAGTGCCTTTAATTTAGTTGTTCTACAAAGCTTTTACTCACATATCCTAAAAATCTCTACTGAAACATGACTATGATGTATAAAGATATTTCTTGAATCAGCCATCTTACTCTTTATTTCACCAAGCATAACTCCTACAAAGCATGTATTTTATATAGTCTCCCCACATTCTACTATGTAAAAACTCCTTATAAAAAAGAATTTTACTAATTTACTGCTGGAGCGATAGCATAGCAGTAGGGCGTTTGCCTTGCACGCAGCCAACATGGCTGAACCAAGTTCGATTCCTCCGCCCCTCTCGGAGAGCCCGGCAAGCTACCGAGAGTATCTCGCCCGCACGGCAGAGTCTGGCAAGCTACCCGTGATTTATTCAATATGCCAAACACAGTAACAACAGTCTCCAATGGAGACGTTACTGGGTCCGCTCGAGCAAATTGATGAACAACGGGAGGACAGTGACACTTAACAACCAGAGTCTGGCATTTAACAGGTATTCAATACATACTGACTTGGTGAAGCAATGGCTACCTATTGGTGATTAAAGATACAAAAGAGGCTGAAGAGAAAAAACAATGCTACTTAAGTAACTGCTAAGAAAATTTCAAAGCTGCCCCCCCCAAATTGAGATGCACATGAGAAAGAACGTAATAGTTAACAATATAGCAGTTCAGGATAAGACCACTGAAGAAACTGGAAGAATTCAGAACTGAGCCTACAAGAGACAGCAGGTTGTATAAGCCAAAGAAGATGGACGAAAATCCAGAAAGGAATATTTGGTGCAATATTCCTATTACACCTACTGGAAAAGTGGAAATTTGCTAAGAATAGGGTTTCTAGAATGTTCACAGAAAATGGTACAACTGCAAAGTAAAGAAAAAAGAAATACAGACCCAGCAGTCGACAAGTGCTAGGGATCTAAGTCTGGGCTTTGCACATTCTAGGTATATGCTCCACGAGTTTCAGCAATCTACCTGTTCAGTAAAACAAATTTCTAAACTCTTAACATATTGACACTGGCACTGCAATTTCTGTTTCTTGGATCTGGTGTCTTCATTAAATAAATCTTTCTTTCAATAACAACAAATCAAAATTTTAAATACTCAATAGGCAATTTTCAACTACGTGGCAGTTTTCTATTTACCAAACCAAACTGGACATATCTGATAGCAAAGTCTGTCTCATCAAAGTGAGCCATTGGTGATACTTGCAAGCATCCAGGTGTGAGGTAGATGTAGGCTCGAATTTTTAATAGGACATCTTGTCACTATTATTATTATTATTATTGGCTTTTTGGGTGACACCTGACTCTGCATTCAGGAAGTACGTGTGGTGGTGCTCAGGGGACCATCTGGAATGCGAGATCAAACCCAGGCTGGCTGCATGCAAGGCAAATGTCCTATCTGTTGTTTTGCTCTGGGTCCCCTTCTTGTCACTTTTGACATGTCTAACTTGATGTTAATCTCTAAGGAAGTAAATGTACAGTACAATGTATCCCTGCTGAATAAATATGAAAGCCCAGCTTCACTATTATTACTATTGTTTAATATCTTATCCATTCTGTCCTACAAAGCTATGATCTATTAAATAACAAAGTATTGTCTCCTCATACAAAAAGTTTTCATTGGTATATTTACGCCACATCTGCATACTTAACAAACAGACACTAGCTGACATGTGCCTGACTGATCATATACTCTTTGTTTAGAAAATCACAATATTCCTTCTTTTGTGTAAAGACCTGAAATTTTATTTTCAAATTGCTCCTCTGTATTTGTAATAAATACCCTATTAAGAAAAGTCATATCCATAAAATACTTAGTGTCCTTTAAATGACTTTAAAACCTCTAAGTAATCTGAACTGTTTAAAAGCTACTCAGTTCGGGCGCTGGAGCAATGACACAGCAGGCAGGGCGTTTGTCTTGCACGTGGCCGACCTGGGTTCAATTCCCAGCATCCTATATGGTCCCCAGAGCACCGCCAGAAGTAATTTCTGAGTGCAGAGCCAGGAGTAACCCCTGTGAATCCCCGGGTGTGACCCAAAAAGGAAAAAAAAAGGCTACTCAGTTCTAAGATAAATATATCAGAAATTAAAAAAAAAAAAACAAATAAACTGCAGCAGTTGCTCAAAAGTACAAAGAATCAGCCCAATATGCTGCATAAATCTTTCCATCACTTTTACAAAGAAATTATGTCTTTAAAGTCAAATTACAAGGGAGAGGGGGAAATCCCAAAACAAAAAACTCCACAGAGCACAGGTCACTAATCTAACTACCCAGTGGCTATTATTTTTAAATACAAAAGAATGTATCTGCACATTTTAACTGTGAAAGCTTAAAAATAAAAGAATTATTTAATGTGTGATAAAAATTTTGGATAAGTCAACTCCAAGAGTCTCACATCTTTTGTTTTTCTATAAAAGAAGCAAGACAAACCAAGTGTAAAAGCTAGAGATTTATTGTTATTTTGTGATTAATAAATTGTCAAATTGGTTACGACACTATCCCACACAGTTAGCCATTAGCCAGTACAAAAGTTCTTTAAACCAGACAGAGGCATAAGGCAGAGAGAGCAAAGACACATAAAAACCATCCATACGGACTTTCTCTAGTCATGCCTCCACCTTGACTTTCAAATGTTTCCTCATGGGGAAAGTATCAAAACTGCATGGGCTGGTGGCCAACCTGACCTCTTGACCTGTTTTAATAGCAAGCAACTTATAGAGTAATTGAATCCAACTGTGTTTCCCTTGATTTTATTGGTCTGGATTCATTTTACATTACTTTAACATTTTAATTTCCTGAAACTGTACATCAGAGAATATAATCACCTAAGAGAATACTGAACCAGAGTCAGACAAATATATTACTGACCCCGAAGTCATGTTTAATTGGTCCTAAAGGAATGTACCACCCCAACAGTTTGAGAGATAGACAAACAGAACTTTGGGGAGGGAAGAAAAAAGCTGCTGGAACAGCCAAATGTACTCAATGTTTAAACGGCTCTTTTTCACCCTCGAATACTTCTTTACTACGCTATATGCACAGAAACCCTAAACAGAATCTTGCTGCCAGTATTATTTAGGCTGGCCCAATCCAAGGTAGATTATACCCCCCACCCCCATACCCATTCTGAGGCTCTGAAAAGCACAATATTTAACTATTTCTTAATAGAACTACCAACACACTTCAGAAACAAGTAGCTCACAAATCATTTAAATTCATGTACTCCCTGGTATGAGAAAACTGATATACCCAGCAAGTTTGTTCAATTTTCATGTGGCGATTAGAAATAACTGACACATCAAGACACTTTCAGTGAAAGCAACATTTCAATTACAAATTGTAATGCTTGTTAAATGACCTATGGGAGAAGCTGAAAAGTCCTATGCAAATGCACTTGAGTTATTCTACAGTGTTCCCTCAGTCAGCACAAAGATTAAGGTAATTTACAGTCCATCTATGAATGCTGAAACATTACATCATGTCATCTGTACAAGTAAATGTTCTCCGAGAATCTGCTCTTCTCCTATATTTTCAACAACTTACTAACTGGCACTTTTGCTGAGATGTTTATCAAAGATGCTGTAAGATTCTATACAATTAGGAAACAGCTTTAAAGAATTTCCTGATCTTTACTTTTTGGTTATAGGTGTTTTGTCCAGATAATCTATTGCAGTGTATTTCTAGAAATGCAGTCCCAAAGTGCAGAACTATACTGTATACAAAGAAAGCAAAAACTGTCAGTAGTATAAATCTTACAGCATTTTGTCTGCAAAAATACATGCCAAAGTCACAATAAGCAGTATTTTACCACAAATTATAGAGCGCAAGTGATTTGCTTCTTTTAAATGCTTTTATTCTACATAAATTACTATCAGTGGCTAATGTTTAAAAAGCAAATAAACTCGACATATGCAAGACAAAAATTTGTTCACCCAACTACAAAAGGTGATGTTTTCTTGAAAAATTACATAAATGCAGAAGTGTTTGATGCATGCAGTAGCCTTAAACGAAAAAGCATTGATTCCCACTGTTCTAAAACAAAGACAAACAACTTCACACGTCTTACTGCACTCCACCTTAAAATCATATTGGGCTTGTTTCTAAACACACAAAATGTCAAGAGTCAAGATGAAATAAAGTGGGTATTTTAAAGATTTAAGAGCCGTTATCAAAAATAAATTACATTTTTCCAAGATACAGAAATGCTGCTATGATGGCTGGGAACCCAGTAACCTTTCAATAGCTGCATTGATATCACCTCCTGTTGCTATTAGCGCTTGTAAGTTTGCTTCACGGTTCAAAAATCCCATTGCACTGAGCTGTTCCAGTTGTTGCTGAAATCTGACTTCTGGATTCTGAAGCTATGAAAGGAGGAAAGAAAAAAAAAGTAAGAAAATTCAATCTAAATAACACAAATAATATCAAGCTAAAAATTACATTTGAAATGACTTAACTGCTTTTAAATATAATGTTGCCTTATTGGGTTGGAGCAATAGCACAGCGGGTAGAGCGTTTGCCTTGCACGCAGCCAACACGGCCGACCAGAGTTCGATTCCTCCGCCCCTCTAGCAGAGCCCGGCAAGCTACCCACAGTGTATTCGATATGCCAAACACAGTAATAAGTCTTACAATGTTACTGGGCCTGATTGAGCAAATTGATGAACAACAGGAGGGCAGTGACAGTGACAGTGCTGCCTTACTAAGGTGCAAAAGTCTTTCATCTGCGCCATATTCAACCTATTTATGTTCATATGCTCCTTCGTTTTCTTACTTCAAACGACCTAAATTTAGAACTAATCAGTATCAAAAACATTAATATACCTCAGCTCTGAAAAATTTAGCAGCTCAGAGACAGTATAGCATATAGGACATATTCCTTAGAGCATCCAATCTAGGTTCAATCCCAGCACCCCATAGGACCCCAAAGACTGCCAGGAGTAACCCCTGAGTGCCAGGAATAAGCTGGGCGTGGCCCCCAAACAAAATATTAAAACAAAAACAAAAAAGGTACAGGAGTTGAAATGATAGCTCAATAGCTCTGAGTATGGGCTGGAGCGACAGCACAGCGGTAGGGTGTTTACCTTACAAGCGGCCAACATGGCCGACCCGAGTTCGATTCCTCTGCCCCTCTCGGAGAGCCCGGCAAGCTACCAAGAGTATTTGATATGCCAGACACAGTAACAACAAAGTCTCCAATGGAGACGTTACTGGGCCCGCTCGAGCAAATTGACGATCAACGGGAGGGAATATATATATATGCTTTCTATGCAGAAGACCCAGGTTCAACCCTGGTACTGTACAAGCATGCACACATGCTCACACTCTTCCCCCAACCCCAAGTCACATGCCTGGGCAAGGAACCCAACCACATGCCTAATACTCACATATTAGACACAGCTAAGCTCAAGAACACATACAAAAATGTCACGGTCACGGTCCTCCCGTTGTTCATCGATTTGCTCGAGCGGGCCCAGTAACGTCTCCATTGTGAGACTTGTTGTTACTATGTTTGGCATATTGAATACGTCACAGGTAGCTTGCCAGGCTTCTGCCGTACGAGCGAGATTCTCTCGGTAGCTTGCTGGGCTCTCCGAGAGGGGTGGAGGAATCGAACCTGGCTCAGCCGGGCTGACTGCGCACAAGGCAAACACCCTACAGCTGTGCTATTGCTCCAGCCCAATACAAAAATGTAGCAATATTTATATGCCAATATACGGGGGGCGGCGGGGGAGGAGAAGGAGAGGATGCACACCTACAAATACTCTGGGTTTAACCCTGGCTCTGCATTCAGGAATTACTCCTAGCGGTGTTCAGGGGACCATATGGGATGCCAGGGATCAAACCAGGGTTGGTCATGTGTAAGGCAAGCTCTGTGCCTGCTGTACTACCACTCCAGCACCTCTGGAGTTAAATTTTAACTAGATATTGTATCTGTAACTACTGAACTGACCAACCTGTGATTGGCCAAGTCTTTCTAAAAAAATGTTCCAATTTCAGGCCCACAGACTATATATACCTCATCTTCCTGAAAATTAAGGATCAAATTTTCCTTCAGAAATAAAGACAAACTATGAAAGCAATCACTCAATCTTGGCAATTCTGATATAAGAGCCTATATAGTACTTCTGTTCAGTAACTAATTTTTAAAAATTAACTTCATGATATTACTGAGTTACAAACTATACTAGAGATCAGAAATACAAATGTTTGAGTACTACCCGTTTATGAATTTGAATATGGTTTTAAATAAGAAAGTATGCTGTATTTTTTGCTATGCAGGGGGCAACCTGTACGCAATCATTATTTGTATAAAGGCTCATTTTTAGTAAAGCCAATGAAATATTACCAGATGCTGGAGCATTATAAGAAGTTCACAATTTTAGCTTTGTTTGCGAGGTATAAATATTTAACATTATCACAGAAGATGGAATGTTAATGGAAATAGTCAGGGCTTCATACTTCAAAATAAAAAACTAGACAGGTTGCAGTGACGAGACATGCAGGGCCTTATGGGATGGGGGCTGAAAACGGCCCTCCTCCCTGCTGTGACGAGACCCCGAGTTGCCGCCCATGAACGGCTCCTCCGGCTCCCGAATGGCCATGATCCCAGAGGCACACAAACCAATCCTGGAACCCAGCAGCTTCTGGCAGAAATCCCTCTGGACTTAATTACAAAAATATCAGATATCCAAAACTGTGCGGCTCGCAATGTCACATGCTCTTCATTATCAGCAATAAGGTAAGGTAAGGTAAAGGCCCTCCCGTTGATCGTCGATTTGCTCGAGCGGGCCCAGTAACGTCTCCATTGGAGACTTTGTTGTTACTGTGTCTGGCATATCGAATACTCTCGGTAGCTTGCCGGGCTCTAGAAAACAAATTATCTAATGATGCCTTCTCGGCAGGTCTGAATGTTGGGGGAAAATTCCAAATAATAATGGTAGGTCTTCTGTCAAAAAATTGAATGCTATCAAAGTAGAGAGAAAAATGGAAATCATCTGCCACACTAGCAGGGGGAGGACTAGGAGGGGGGACATACTGGGGTTCTTGGTGGTAGAACATGTGCACTGCTGAAGGGATGGGTGTTTGATCATTATATGACCAAGACTTAAACCTGAAAGCTTTGTATCTTACGGTTATTCAATAAAAAAAAAAAAAAAAAAACCTACACAGGATACTAGAAAGCTAACAGGCTGAGCACATGCTTTGCATGCAGTTTTCAATCTCCAACAGGTGGTTCCAAGTACCACCAGAAGTTACCCACATCCAGCCAGCTGAATCAGGGTTAGTCCCTGAGGACCACCATGGTTTGGTGGCCTGAATCAAAAGCAAAAAACTAGATAGGTTGTGTTTTGAAGGTATTAGTGATAACCAAATCTCTCTTTTTTCTGACATACTTCTCAAGTAACTTCCAAAAAAACCTTGTTTCTTAAGAGAGAATAACAAAAATGAATTTTACAAGTCAATTCTAAAAATTAAGCATTGGATAGCACAGTGCTTTTTTACAAAAACTATAGCATTTCTTTCAGTGTCCACACTAAAGTGTCTTCTAGTACCACACATAACATTTTTGGCAAGACCTGTTTTATAATCACTATAATAATACTGCGCCTTTTATTATAAACAAAATAAATATAAACAAAAAATAAATTAAAAAGGTACTGTCCCTTTTCCTTTCTTGTGTGAGATGTCCAACATTAATAAATGTAAAACATGATTGAAAAAAAATCATTACTTGAGGGTTTACTCCAGCAAGAGCCTGCAGCATTTGTTGAATAAACTGCTGGTGTCCAGGTTCAGTGGTTCCTGCTGTGGGGCTTGTGTTTTCGCTGGGTACAGAGCTGGATGCATTAGTTCCTGAAGAGCTTCCAGTATTTCCTAATGTCCCCAGAGTAGGGGTAAACCTAGGGAAAAACACAAATCAGTGACAAACCTTCCTTTTTTTTTTTTAAAAAAAAAAGGAGGCTTATGGTACAAGTTAAATTTTTAATACAGTACAAGTGAAATTTTTTAAAGAACTGTCTTTTTAACTTTGAAGACATCTTTAAAAAGCTGAGGAAAAATCAGAAGAATACTATGTATAATTCTCATTAAAAAAATCAGCCTACCCTGGGATAAGGCCGGGAGCTTCTGTTGCTAGAGTCTGTAAACCCTGCTGGATCTGCAACAAGGCCTGCATTGCTCTAGGGTTTGACATTGCTGATAATGTATCAGGGTTCTGCATCTAAGAAAGAAGTAAAAAAATTGTTGTTAATGAGGAAACAATACTCAAGTCACAGTTAAATTTAAATGTTTTTCTTTTTGCTGTGTTTTTGGAGAAAAACCTAAAACTGATATTCTGCAGTTTCTTTCCCAAAGTAAACACAATCACCTCTTTCACCAGAATCCTGGTGTGCAAATCAGTATTTGACCTTCCAAGTCCACCATGAAAGCATTTTTCCAAATGAAAGATAATCAGCTGTTCTGGAAGCCACAACTATCACCTTTCTCCAACAGTAGAGAAATAAATTATTTTGAAGCGACAACCTCCAAATGAACTAATTAAATACATGGCAATATGTTTGTTGAACACCACATACTCCTTCTGACCAAGTGTTACCTATTGCTGGTAAAACAATTTTACCAGTAACACACACTCTAAAACAACAGTTCCAAATTTGAAGTTAAAACATGTGTCTTGAGCTCAGCTTTACTACCAAATAATTACGCACCACCTGACAAAAAGAGCTAGGCAGAGATTATAATACATGAAGGACACCAGCTAACCCTGAATAAGTTCACAGACCTGAGAATAATTACCTAATATTTAAAAGCCCTTGAACTACCAGTTTCAAAACACCAAGACTGCCCTCTCTTTTATCTTTTTAAAAAATAAATACCATGGCAATCTCAAATTATATTAAAACCTTCCTTACATGACAACACTGACAATTCTAATCTAGCTAATTCCGAGTTTCAGGAAATGATATCTACTCTGTGGAAAACAGATATTTATTAATTTGAAGGAATCAAAGCATTATAAAGAAACCAAATCTGAAAAACAGGACAGGGTAACTCTCTCCCTGTTATTTGAGATTAGTAAAACCATGAAGTGTAACATGAATGAATCCCTTCAAAGTTAGTAAAGTGAAAGGAAATGGTTTATGGTATTAACAAAGCATTCAAAATCTAAATCCACAAGAGCCAAAAAAAGGTTCCTTTCCTCAGAATTTATGTGCAGAAAAAAAAAAAATGAGCGAAAGGTCAGTAGTGAAATGGGGCTTAGTTTAAGATCAAGCTGAGTTCTCCATAAATAGACAATATCAAACTCAATTCTGTTTTTCTATCAGCCAAAGAAAAAGAAAATTGATTAAGGTTTTTTTTTTCCAAGCAAATCATTACCAAAGAGAGCTAGCATCTTATCTTACTCACTTGTTGGAGGAAAGTTGGGAGCTGTTGTCTCATTTGTTCTTGAAGCTGAGGATTTCCAGCAAATAGGGGATTATTCAGCATCATCTATGGGGCAAGTGTTCAAACAATTTTAACTGGAAATATTTGAAACAAGTAATGTACCTTGTTTAATAGTCTATCTTCCCTCGAGCGCCTTACCTGGCGCTTAAAAGCAAGGAAGGTAGAATATGAGCAAAAGGAAAAGGGAAATTACTGTTCACAAGAGGAAATCTCCAGAACAAAACTAAATAAAAAATAAAGGATGCATCTTCTCTCTCAATGAGAATGATGATTATGATAATGGCATGCAATATCCTTAAAAAAAAAGAGAGGGAGAGAGAAGAGAGGTATTTTCTTAGGCCTTTCCTTGAGCAAAGGCAGATAGTTGCCTTAAAAGAGTAGCTGGCATTCATGAGGAAACATTTTCTGCTACACTGACAGCATAAACTTAAGAAGCAACACATGAACTATACATAATATGCTTAAACACCTCAACACCCAAGTGCCAAGTACAAACAAATCCAGATCTGGAACTATTCTACTTATCTCCTACAAAACAGCAAGTATTAGGTCCAGAAAAATAACAGCACAAACAACCAACTTGTCAGAGAAATGGAGCAACTAGGTGAAAATAAGCCCAGAACTACTACCAACAGATGTCTGGGGGAAATAGTAAAATGCTTTTAGACCTGAAAGATGTAAAAATTCACTTAAGAACACCAAGATTAAAATCTAGATTTAACCTCACTACCATCAGAGATGAAAACAGTAGCATGTCTCTTAATCCTCAAACAGGTATTAGGAATTTAAAAATCAGGGTCACTATTAACCTGATGTTAAATACACAAAAATTAAGAGTATCAGAAGCAAAGCAAAACCAGAAAAGAATAAACTCTCATAGCTTCAAAATAAACAATTTTTTTATTAGTTTGCCCAGTTGGAGTAGAAAGTCAATGAGCAATGATTTACTGTAACTATTTACCTATTCAAAGTCTAGGGTCGAAAATGATCCTTGCCCTCAAGGAGCTAACCATATTTGAGATTAATTATATGCAAATACAAAAAAAAGAGAAAACACCCCCTTAATTCCCTTTAGTTTTACAAATTACTACATTTATTTAGTTGAACACAACAACTAAAGCATTAAGTCAGAAATTCAATGGATTACAGAATTTATTCCAAAGTGCCCAGACTTCACCTTAAAGTAGTTAGATCAACAAATCTGCTTCTTTACTGGCTATTTCATTATTTTCAATTAGGAACACAATAATGAAGTTATTGCAGTATCTTTCAAACTTTGTATCATCTGAAAAGCATGTTAACTTAAACTTACTCATTCTTAGAAAACTGTATCTTATTTGATTAGTTTTTCTCCTAACTTACCTGTCAATATAATAATTTATTTTCACTCACATTCTTTTGATCTAAAAACTGAAATTAGGACAGAAAATGGCAGACTTTAACCTGTCATTGACATTGTAATAATTTTAAATTATCTATAATAAAATATAACCACATCTAGCCTTCTTTATTACATTTTTCTTTAGTGTAATAATATACTCTATAAATGTAAAATTGTTAAATGATTTGAAGTGTACCTGTTCAGTGACTGAAAATGTGTTTGCTAGTTTGGAAATTTAAAACATGCATATTTAGTGTTATTTTCTTTTTTTTTATTAGTGAAACTCCATGTACAGTTTAGTGTTATTTTCTACACACAAATTTTTCAAATATATTATAAAGCATAAACATAGGATTACTCAACATATTTTTATTATTTTTTTAAACATGCCAGTCAAGTGTGATATGACTGACTACTCAGGCTCATGATTTTTTATTAATACAATTCCTCACAAGATATAACAATAATATGCAAAATAATGAGTATATAAAAATTTTTTTAAACTTTACTTAAAATACCATTAACTTAAAAGAGGCAGAAGCTACTGCTGAGAATTACAACTCAAAAACATCTGCCATATATATCTGAAACAACATGGTGCACACAGAAAATATAAACTATTTCACTTGGTAAGGAAAATTATTAATCAAAACAAATTTTGGAGATGGGAATAAACTATGAAGAAAACAATCTCAAATTCTTATCACTACAGAATTCTTTTAAAAAAGAGGGAGGCAGTGAAATAATGTAATAAGGTGCTTGCTCTGCATGTGGGCTAACATGAATCTGATCCCTGGTACCCCACATGGTCCCCAGTCAGGAGTAATCTCTGAACACAGAGCTGGGTAAAAGCCCTCTGCACACAGTCAAGTTTTGGCCCACCAAAAACAAAACAGAAAAATATATACATAGCAAGGGTCGGAGAAATAGTAAGTGGATTAAGAGGGTGCCTCGTACACGGCCAACCCAGGCTCAAGTTGCATCTGGAGCCCTGAGCACTGCCAGATCCCTAAACATAGCCAGGTGTGTGCCACACTCCTTGCGTCTCTCTTTCACCCAATGCAAATATAAACTACAGACAACTAAGGGTTATTTCACATTCTTCAAGATTTTACAAGTATAATGATTCTCAATCTAAGGGTATATCCAATCACCCAGTTCTTAAGAATGCAATTATACCTAAAATCTCTCAGAAGGTTGTCAAGATTTTTCTATTTTAGAATTCCCAAAGTATACTATATGTGAGCAATAGTACAGCGGGTAGGGCATTTGCCTTGCATGCGGCCCACGCGGCCGACCCGAGTTCAATTCCTCTGCCCCTCTCGGAGAGCCTGGCAAGCTACCGAGTATCTTGCCCGCACGGCAAAGCCTGGCAAGCTACTCGTGATGTATTTGATATGCCAAACACAGTAAAAACAAGTCTCACGATAGAGACGTTACTGGGCCTGCTCGAGCAAAATCGATGAGCAACTGGAGGACAGTGCTACTATATGTGCAATTCCCAAACCAATTTAAATGTGCATTTAGGACTGATAACCCTACATTTCATAGGTATGGCCACTTTAGCTAGAAAATTAACTGAGGGCCAGTAAACAAATGAGAGTAAAAGGAATCTACACCAAAGAGAAAGAGAATAGTTTCTACAAATACCCCACCCAACCTTAAAAATTTTATAATAGCTACTTTGAACCTATTATCAGAAATCTATGTGATCTCATCAGCAAAATTAATTCCAAATGTATCAGTAACTTAAAATCACTTTCAAAATTTACATTTCACTAAATATATCTTAAAAGAACTATACCTCAAAGCCACAGAACTTAACCCTACTGTTAAATTGTTACCCCAATTAGTTTTAAAAACTTCCAATTTTACATATTACACAAGGAAGGCCAACAATTCAAAACTTTTATATTCACCTTTTAAACATAAAGCTACACTTCTTTCTACCTAGTGAACAGGCAGATGAGGCCACTTAAATATATATTAAGCCTTATTTATTGCAAAGAAATGCAGTTCACTTTTTCCCCCTAGTGTGTTAAGGAACACAAATGTGCAGAAAATTTCAATTATTTGATTAGACTGATTCACAATGCAGTCTTTCTTCATACAATTACTACTAACCTGAGCAGCAAGATCAGGATTCTGGCTCAGAGACTGCATCATGCTTCTCATGTAGGGGGCAGACAGCATGTTTTGCATAAGCTGTGGGTTTTCAGTTATTTGCTGCAACAGGCTCTGCATTCCTGGTGTGTTGAACATACTAGCTGAAAGTTTGTTTTAAAAAGAAAGACTGTATCAAGGAAAAGATACCCTTAAAAGTCAATCTTTAAATACAATATATACTGTCCATAATTTAACAATTTATATGGGTATACAGTATCCATTAAACCATATTTTAAAAACTAAGATCTTCAACAATACTTGCTTAATATACTGGTAAATGGCTTATAACTTTAAACATTCTGAATCCATTTACAGCAAACTATGTGAATGAAAAAGGTGGGTTTTACAGTCAAAAAAAGAAAAAGCTAAGGTATAGATAAAATTACTACTGAAAAATCTAATTCAGAAGTCTGAGGGAGTTTTTCCTCCAGGATCACTTAATGTGCACTGTATTAAACTCAGTATTTCACACTTCAAAGAGAATTCTTCACACAAACGAAAAATAGACACCGGTTTCTACCCCAGTGAATACTGGTGTTCACTAAACAAAATGATAGACACATGTACATCTCAGAGCCTACAATAGTGACTAAAGATGTGTCCATAAATCAAACCACCTGGGTTCAAATCTAGTAAACTGTAGCCTTGCGCAACTGATGATGTTTCCTCCCACTTTAATCTCCCCATCTGTAAAATGAAGAAAACAGTATCTGCCCTAACACTAATTGTGATAATTAGTGTGTGAAGTGGTCACTATCCACATTTTTCTTTTTTTTCCCTCTCACTGCTGAGTAGTGAAGCTTATATAACTTAAGTTTTCCTTAAAAACTCATTTTTTTCCATCAAATGTGTAAATTTTCAACTGCTTACTGGATATACTGAAACTCAAGTTCTCAAACTCTTTGTGACTTAAAACTCAGCTTCTCCACTCAGTTTTGAAAGGTATAATTTGCTGTTTCTGTGTAACCATTTTTCCCCTTATTTTTCTCATGCTGTTCAAATACAGATTAAATACAGCCCAACACTAGGTTGAGATAAAAGGATTAAAGAAAAAAATTGGGGCGAAATATGAAAAATATATGGAATTGAAAACTTCAATGTCCATAAACAACCCTTTATTAAAACATAAATGCACTCATTTATTGTCCAGGGCTACACACTTTGCAAAGAAAGCAGTAAACTAGTCATTAATCAAAACATTATTAACTAAATCTTGCAGTTATAGGAGGGAAGAACATTACTCTTTCAGGAAGCACAGTTTATTAAAAAAACTTAAGACATGAAGTTCAACATCAATATTCAATTTTAAAACAACTCAAATTATTTTGAATGGTATTCTTCTGTTCAGAATTAGATGTTACTGGTAACATTATTTAAGTTTGAAGTGACTTAAAAAATAGCCTCTCTTGGGGTTGGAGCGATAGCACAGCGGGCAGGGCATTTGCCTTGCACACGGCCGACCCGGGTTCGATTCCCAGCATCTCATATGGTCCCCTGAGCACCTCCAGGAGTAATTCCTCAGCGCAGAGCCAGGAGTAACCCCTGTGCATCGCCGAGTGTGACCCAAAAAGGAAAAAAAAAAGCCTCTCTTAACATTCTGTATAAACTACAAACTGCTGAAGATTGAGAAAATAAGAATTCAAAAGTAGAATCTGTTAAGATGTGCAAATCTGACAATGAAAAGACAACAAAGATTAAAATTATTAGTTGGACAAATATATGAAGTTTTTCTTAAAAATCAATCAAGTTTGTATTTAAAAACAACTCTTATTCACTGGCAGGTTCTACAGAAAATATTTGAACTGTTATTCAACAGCAGAACTATCAATGGTGAATATCAATTCAGTTTTGTTAACTTACCCAAAGTAAATTCCGTAAGTTTTAATAATATCATGACTTGCTCAATCTTACATAATTTTGTTAAACCCATGTACTGTTTGTTTTGTTTTTTGGGGTATATTAGGGAATATACCACTGGTGCTCAGGAGTGACTGCTGGAGTTGCTCTAAGCATTATGTGCAAGTGCTAAGAATGAAATACATCAACAGCATGCAAGGCAAGCACTTACACACCCTGCTCTACATCTGTATAATCGCTTGAATCACTTAAGAGACAGTTTTTAAGTTCTGTTATTTTTTCTAAAGAAGTAAAAGTTATTGCCCCCTTTTTGGAGGGAGAATGTTAGAGCTCAGACATATTTTTCTGAAACACTCAACCATAGTATCAAATAATTAGTTTGCCTATTTATATTCCCTTTTGGTAGAGACGTTATTTTCTCAATGAACTCAACCCAAAAATCACAAAGCAAAATACCATTTACAAGCAAAATGCAGAGCATGATTAAGTCATTTTGACAATTAAAAATTGTCTGAATCACATTGCCAAGTAGCATTATCAAATCTTGTTCTGTAAAAGACAAGCTAGCTCTCTTTTCCCACAAATATGCAACAGGAATCATTTGAGCTAAGGCTGTTTTGGAAGCTTTTATTTTTACCCCCATCTAAATAAACAGAATCTTCACATTGAAAACTTTAATTGTACTATTAAGGGGGCACTACTTAACCAACCAGAAATAAGTTGCGAAGACATAAAAAATGCAAAGAAAATTGTAATTCTATATACATGCTTTCTGGTTGGCAAATACACTATAAAAATCATAGTTTTATAATGACTACATATCTTAAGTAAAAATATTTTATCAGTATGAGCTGCAACAGACTGACAAAACACAATAAAGACCAATTAAAATATTATCTGCCTTCTTACAGGAGATATTTGTAGATGTGAGAAAATGTTACACTCTTAAGATTTTCTCACATTCTATACTGGATAAAGAAACCAACAAGAATTTAATTTTACAGGTAGAAGAGTAAAAGTTCATATTTACTGTTTTTTGTTTTTCTTTTACTTTGAGGCAAACATAAACATGAAATTTTCAAATTAAAATTAGGGAGCAGAATAAAAAGTGGCAAAACTGATTTTCTGTTGTTTACCAAAGATGAGGACCACTGTTGTTAACTGTCAATGAGTATAAAAGACACTTCGAAAGCACTGCTACAGACTATCATACAGTGAGGATGATTCACCCAGAAGGAAATCTGATAACCTTTTGTGAGGTCTTGTCTTTCTTTCTCTCTGCTTTAAGAACTTCAAATGTAATAAAGCATCTTTTGTAGAAGAAAATCAAATAAACACTAAGTAAAATGCAAAACATGATACTTTTTCCTCTTGCAGGTACTATCTCATAAAGCCTGACATATATCCTTCCTCACCCAAAAAACACAAACCCCTCATAATATATATTATATTCTTAATTTTAATCTTTTGGTTTCTGGACCATACCAGCAGTGTGTTCAGAAACTAAAACAGCTTACGCCTGGGATGCCAGGGGCTGAAGCCTGGTCAGGCACATCATACAAAGCAAACGCATAGCCTGCTGTATTATTTCTCCAGCTCCTCCACTGTAATCTTTAAAGAATACCAATGTAAACACCAATTATTCTCCACATTCTGATTTCCCTTCTCAGTAATGAAACGCTCAGATAGCTGGTTGTTTCAGCAATGTCCTCCTGCTCAGGCCCAATGGTGCTGGAAGCCACCAGGGCACACCAGATGGTGCTGGGGGCACCAGTGGTACATCAAAAATATTTGAGAGGTAATGTGGCCTGGGGTTCCTACTTTGTTCTGTCTATGCCTTTGCATGATATAGGCCCCTAGCTGATGAACCATCTCCCCAGCTCCTTAGTAAAGAGTTTTTTAAAATTCATCTCCAGCATCCTATCATTCTACTTCTGCCAAGACAGAGAGACATTTTCTAAAACATAGCAAATTCCTCTCCTATAAAGAAAGTGACCACAAAATTTCATTTATTCTATTTTAATATGCTAAATGTTATAGCATTCAAAGTGGCTACTAAACTATAGACTGAACACAATGGCCACTCAATTCCTCTACTGCAAACTACAATACCCAAAAGGAAAGAGAAAAAAAAAGGGAATGCCCTGCAACAGAGGCGCAGTGGGGGGGATGGGAAGGATACTGGGACCATTGGTGGTGGAGAATGGGCACTGGTGGAGGGATGGGTACTTGAGCACTGTATGACTGAAACGCAAGCACAAAAGTTTGTAGGTATGTAACTACCTCACGGTGATTCACTAATTAAAAAAAAAAGTGGCTACTAATTTTGGAACTAATTCATGGGTAAGTTATTAGCATAAAGTATCTGAATAGCTGAAACTAGGATTTCTCCATCTAGTCTACAGAAAACTTATCCAAACAAGTCTGGATTTTCTGCAGACTTTGCAGCAACAATATACAAATCTTGAACCCCTCTGCCAAAGATTCTGATCCAGGACACATGAGTTAAAGCATCATTCACACACCTGGTAAACAGAATACAGCTAATTTAGGCCTGGTGCCAAGACTGAGAATCCACTGATCTAGAACAGTATCTGTCCATTTTTTTTCTGCTAGGGGATCCTTGTTATCCAACACCGTTTCCTTCCTGTGGCATCCCTTTGCTACCAGTTGGCCTCTTACTTTGTGCCATGGACCCTGCCTCACCCATTTATGAGACTGTGTCATCTTTGTCCCCCCTCCCCCCACATACTGGGTGCTCACAGCAGTGCTTATGGCTGCTGGTTGAGAAATACATGTGTAGAATAGACAACCAGATAAAAATCAGGAAGCTTGTGGTCTATTAATAAGCACACAAGTAAAATCACAAAATTACTCCTGCAAAACCTCAGTAAACCTTCCCAATACACTGTAGACAAGATTAATAGCAACCATTACATACTTAAGCTTACATACTTAAGCTTACTTTTACCTAAGGAAGGCTTCATTATTCTAAGACAACAAAAGGTGTTACATTCAGAACTTACCTCCTACTCCAGGCCCCAAATTTGGCGTAGTCGAGCTCTGCCCAGCAGTGCCACTGGCAGCAGTACCAGTAGTGCCACCCCCTGTGCTGGTGGTAGTACTGGAAGTAGATGAACTCTGGGAAGTCTGTGGAGCCCACGGATTAGGCAGTGGGTCTCTGTTTTCTGTACGAGAAGGTTGACTACCTTCACCTGAAGATGTATTGCTCACTAAAGAAGCAAACGGATTACCACCAAACTAAAATTAAAAAAAAAAAAATTACAAGTAAGCTTTGTCTTAAAGGCCATATATATTTTTTTCTCCTAATAAAAACCATGATTCTCATTTAAAAAAGTACTCCTCAATGACACATATTTGTTAAAACAGTAGTATCCCTTGGCTTGAGTCCCATATTATCACCTGTTCCTGAGCAGCACTTAGCATTGGCTCCTGGATATCTGTGTACATGCGCCGTAATGCATTGTATCCCCCTGGGATGCTTTCTAGGTTGCTCAAGGCTCGGTCCTGGTTTCTCATCATTTCCTGCATCATTGCTGGATTCCGAGCAAGTTCCAAGGTCTAAAAAAGATTTCCATGAAAACTAGAGTTGAATGAGGGTTGAAGGGGTTTCAGTGAAATACTATGTGGCATTTTAAAAATTAACCTATTGCTAATTCTGCTTTCTAATCCCAAGAACTAAAAAAATTTTTTAAAGTTCTACTAGATTTTACTTCAAAAATTAAGCTAACATGTCTAACATAACAAATAAGATGCAGCTATTAATGAATGCCTATCACATGAATTCAAATTTCTTAAATTAGTAAAATAACACAGACCTTTATAAATATGAAAGAGAACCAGACATTTTACCCCCTGACTTCAAACTAGATTAGAAAGCCATGGTAATCAAAACTGTAGGGCGTTGATATAAACGCATACATAAACATGAAAAGAGAATAAAGAGTTGAGAAATATATCCAAATAGCTCAACTAACTTATAACAAAGTAGTAAGAATGGGGGAAAACAGTCTAATAAGCAGTGATGGGAAAACTGAAGAGCAATGTGTAAAATAATGAAACTGGACCACTGCCTTATGCCATATACAGGAACCAATTTGAAATAAATTAAAACCCAAAGCTATAAAACTTCTAAAAGACAACATCAGAAAGTAAGCACCTCAATTTTAAGTCTTGACAGATTTTTTTAAAAATCTGAAATTAAATGTTACAAAAGCCAAGTAAACAAGTAGAACCACATCAAACTAAAAAGTTTCTGCTAGCCAAAGGAAACCAATAAAATAAAAGATTGCAGGCCAGGAGATATTACACTGGAGAGAGTGTTTGCTCAGCACACGTCTAAACCCAGATTTGATTCCTGGCACCACCTGAGTATAGCTGGGTGCAGCAATCAGGGCCCCAAGGCCCAACATAGTTGGTGATTCCTGGCACCACATGGTCCAAGCAATAGCGTATCTTCATACCCTGACAGTGAAACTCTGGCCCATTTACCCAGTAATTTTGCTGGTGGGGTATTTGGGCTTCCTGAGGAACAACTGGGAAGGCAGGGGGGGAGGGGGGTGGAAAAGAGAAGTGAACCTACTTAATAAAAATGAGAATATATTTGCAAATCTACGCTCGAGAAAATATCAAATATGCATGAAGAATTCAAATTTTAAATCAGATGACTAAACTAGACATTTTTCCAATGAAAGCAGATGATCAACAGATAAAAAGACTTTCAACATCACTAATCATCAAGGAAACACATGAAAACCACTACCAATTAGAATGTTACTGGTGCAGGTTCTATAGACATGCCTCCATACTAATTTTTACTCAAGAAATTAAAAATCTGGGGCTGGAGTGGTAGTACAGTGGGTAGGGTGTTTGCTTTGCACATGGCCAACCAGGGTTATATTCCCAGCATCCCACATGGTCCCCCGAGCACTGCCAGGAGTAATTCCTGAGTGCAAAGCCAGGAGTAACATCCCTGTGTATTGCCAAGTGTGACCCAAAAAAAGAAAAAAAAAAGAAATTAAAAATCAAACAACTATATATCCAACAATTCCACCTCTGCCAATGTATCTGAATAAAAACACTAACTCAAAAAGGTGTCGTGCACTCTCAAATCCACTGCAGCATTATTTGTAATAGTCAACATATGGAAACCAGCCAGTGACCATAAACAGATAAAGAAAATGTGACATGTATGTGTAGAATGAAATGATGTCATCAGTAACAATACGAATGAACGGGAGGGGGGCGGGGGGGGACATCATTTTAAGTCACTAAAGACAAGCCCTGTATCATCTTATACATACAGGGTAAAATTGATGTCTACCAATGGTTGAGACCAAGATAGAGGAAGAGGAGAGGGAATGAGTGATAAATCTCAAAAGATAAAACTTTCATTTTGTAAATATGAAAGCCTGGGTGAGTCCAAGTGATAGTACAGCAGGTAGGGTGCTTGCCTTGCACGCAGCCAACCTAAGTTTGATACCCATACCCCAAACCTGCCAAGAGAGATTACAAAGTACAGAGTGTGGAGTAAGCCTTGAGCACCACCGGTGGCCCCAAAAGTAAAAATAAGTCTGGGAATACAATGTATGCCATGGTGACTATAGTTAATTACGTATTTAAAAGTTGCTAAGAATAGGTCTGAAAAACTCTATCTCAAGAGAAAAAATCTTGAAGGGCTCAGGGAATGGCTCAAAGGTAAAAAGTGCGTGCTGTGCAGTTGATGAGTTTGATGCCCTGTGCTGGTCCCGGCAGCTCCCATCTCTGCCACCCCTGGTACTGAAATAAAAGTGTGTTCTCCAATTTATGAAGCAAGCATGAACAAGTACTGCAACTGAAGTATGCAGACCCTTGTGGGTCAGAGAAATAGCACAAGGTTAGCTTGCTTTGTAGATAATGACTGGTTCAATCCCTGGAACTATATATAATCACCTAAACACTTCCAGAATGACCCCTGTGCACACAAGGACTAAGTCTTCAGCACCATCAGCTGTGGCCCAAAATAAAACTAAATAAGAAATTAGAGCCCGGCAAGCTACCGAGAGTATTTGATATGCCAGACACAGTAACAACAAAGTCTCCAATGGAGACGTTACTGGGCCCGCTCGAGCAAATCGACGATCAACGGGAGGGCCTTTACCTTTATATACAATAAAATAAAACTAAACTGTGTGGACCCTTCAAGCACAGCAACAAGAGATGTGCAAACCCTCAATGAGCATGTATGCAAGAACCAAAAGCAAATGCACAACACCCTGTGAGCACAACACAACTATGTATACAAACACCACAATCATATGTGTGCACTGCACTGTAGCACTGTCCTCCCATTGCTCATCTATTTGCTAGAGTGGGCCCAGTAATGTCTCCATTGTGAGACTTGTTACTGTGTTTGGCATATTGAATACATCACGGGTAGCTTGCAAGGCTTTGCCAATTCCCACTTACATCAACAGCAGAAACAAAAGAGGGGAAATCAACATCTGTATACAAATTACTATAATGCAGCCCTGCAATGAATAGAATGCTCTGTGTCAAATATGCCTCAGTATCTCAGTAATAGCAGAATATTTTAAACCAAAACTTAGTTGAATTTTCCTGAGTAGGATTTGATTTCTTCCTCCTCCCCAGCCCCTATGATTAGCATAAAAATAAGATGTACATGTAAATTTTTGCAATATTAATTCAAAGTAAGTTTCACATACTTGTCTCATAATATCTGGATTATTCAGCATGTGGCTAATTTCTGGATTTCTCTGTATTAATTGCTGCATTTGTGGATTGGCCATAATTAACTGTCTCATGAGATCAGGATTTGAGAGCATGCTCTGTACAAAAGGATTTTCCATGATCTGGACCATCATTTCAGGATTGGACATAAGTTGCCGTTGCATCTGGCTTTGTAGTTCAGAAAAGTTAGTGGTATTCAAACCCAAACTACTTAGACCAGCAAGTCCTCCAAGGCCACCTAAGAATAAAAAGGGGGAAAAATACATAAATAAAAGTCACAAGCATTATTATAAACACGACTGCTACAATACAAAGAGGTGAAAGAATTACTTAAATCAATAGCCCACTGCAAAAAGTCATCTTAAAGCATATAATAATACCAACTAAAGTAAATATTTCTAGAGTCTAATGTAAACGTATATTTGATCTCCTGGTACGGAGCTCTGAAAACTCTTGCGATTTCCTAAGAGAAAGAATTATCTTTTATTGGACTCACAATCCCCTTTTAAAAAAATCATTGCTCATATAATCATGTTCTTTAGGATACAGATCTCTAGACAACCCCAGGAAAGAACAAGCACTTAAGATGGCAAACTTTCGGTTAACTACCAACCTTCAGGAAGGGAACAGAAAGGGGCTAGTGATAATAAGTTTTAGAAAACAAAAACCCACAATTGAGGTTCAGAGTTCAGTACTAGTTAACACATGCAGGTGGCTAGACAAAAGCACAGAAAGGGTACAGAAGTCTATACTTTTCTGCTATACCATATCTTATTCTATACTTTTCTTACATTCCTGAGTTATATCCTTTGTGATCATCTTGCTAACTTAAGTGTATCCTAGGTTTTGTGAATCTTTCTAGCAAAGTATGAAACCGGAGGAGGCAGGGAATGGAAATTCCTAACTGAAAATGTGCCAGTGAAAAAATATGACAGGCCTGGGATTTGGACTTGGACTTTAAGTAGAGATAGTTTTCAAAGGACTGAGTCATCAACTTGTGGGATCGATCAGACACTAATACTAGGAAGTGTCAGACCTCAACTAAATGATTCAAATGGGTAATTAAACAGTATTAGGGAAAAAAACCTCAGTTAAAAAGAAACATATTTTTAAATGCAGTGGAGCCAAAGTGATGGCTTAAGGACTGAAGTGCATGCTTTGCAACCAGGAGCTGTTATCTTCAGCAAAAGGAACCATGACCCAACCCAGGACCACTAAGAGGAGAACTGAGCACCAATTCAGGTGTGGACACAAAACAAAAGAGAAAAAAAACCTTTAATTATACTTCTATCTCTTTCCAAACTAACAAGTTTAACAAGCAGAATTCATCTATAAACTCTAGATGGAAGTGAGTTCCTGACAATCAAGGAGTTAAGATACACAGAGGAGATATTGGAGGTATTAAGCCACGAAGAAACCTAACCGACTCAAATACAACTAGGTGCTAATCATAAATATATCTTTTATAAAATAAGATAACCAATATACTCATCAGGAATAATGCTGCATACTGGGAATAAAATAACAAAGACAACATAAATTGCCTCTCAGAATTCAATGAAAGAAACCAAGAAAACTTATACAGAATAAGTACTCTATTAATAGAGATAGCCGTAGGATATTATAATAAACTATTCTAAGCGGAATGGCTGCTTTACCACATATGAAATTTAATGAATACATAAAATTAAGAGTAAAATACATTAAGAGTATTGCAAACCAAAGAATCTCAATTTTTTAAAAATGTTTTTTAAAAGATGGTAGATTTCTAGGAACTTAAAAGTAAGTTGGCAAAAAGAAATAAAACAACATTGGAAGATTATTAGGCACAGTAAATGCCACAGAGATTAATAGTATATATTTAAAATTGAAAAAAAATTCCAGGACTCGAATGGAAAATAACAAGGAACAACCAAACATTCTATGTAGACCTTTATATTTCTTTTGCAGAAGAAGCACATCTGCTTCATTATGGTCAAAGGATTGCAAGAAATTATTTGTCACTTCTGGTAAAAGTACAAAAGGTGTAGTTTGATACTCTGGTTGCCTCCTTTGTCATGTTCTAAGAGGTATTGCTAGCTGTAAGGTGGACGAGTTCTATAGAACTACCATCTGATCCAGCAGTACCACATCTTGGCATCTATTTCAAAAACATTCTTTTGAAAGACTATATGCACACTGATGTCCATTATCACAATTATACTGTGAAGAACCCAAACACACAGCTATAGACAAAAGAATCAAGAAACTGTGGTATATATACACAATGGAATACTATGCAGCTCTTAAGAACAAAATCATGCCATTTGTCTTGACATGGATGCAATTAGATTTTATTATGCAGAGTGAGGTCCGGAGCAATAGCACAGCGGGTAAGGAATTTGCCTTGCACGTGGCTGACATGGCCAACCCGGGTTCGATTCCTCCGCCCCTCTCGGAGAGCCCGGCAAGCCACCGAGAGTATCTTGCCCACAAAGCAACGCCTGGCAGCTACCCGTGACGTATTCAATGTGCCAAAAACAGGAACAAGCCTCACAATTTGTTGTGAGACATTACTGGTGCCCACTCGAGCAAATCGATGAACAGGAGGACAGTCCTCAGTTCTATGCGAGTGAAGTCAGAAAGGAAGGGATATAAAATGATGTCTCTTATATATGGGACTTAAAAATACAGAGCAGGATAGTAACATCGATCCAAAAGCAACACAATAAAAACTAATCACACAAATGAGTAGTGGGGAAGGGTAATTGGGAGGAAGGTGTCTTGAGTCCTTGGGAAAGGGAGGGGGGAACAATGGTGATCGGTGTGGTGCTGAAATTATGTGCGTAAGGAACCATGCAATGGCAATACAACATTATAAACCACAGAATCTCAATTTTAAAAAAATGTTTCTTAAAAAATGGCAGATTTCTAGTGGTATCTACCCCTGAGGACAAGGTACAAGGAGAGCTCATTCACCAGCAAAAAAGACATATCACAAAATAGATACAAAGCAAGAAATTACGCTTTATGGTAGTACATTACTGAATTTGGGGTTATTAATTACTATAGAATAGCCTATCCTGATAACTGTTGGAATATGGTAAGAAATAGTATGGAGGGGCCGGAGAGATAGCACAGCGGGAACAGCATTTGCCTTGCACATGGCCAACCCAGGTTCGATCCCCAGCATCCCCTATGGTCCCCTGAGCACTGCCAAGAGTAACTTGAGCATTGCTGAGTGTGACCACCAGCCCCCCCCCGCCCTCCCCCCCAAAAAAAGAAAGAAATAGTATGGAAAATTAAGTAAGAGTTAAATCATAGTCTTTCCCCCCTTCCCTCCCTTTGGGGGGTGTGTGGGTTTGAGCCACACCCAGTTGTACTCAGGGCTTACTGCTGGCTCTGGCTTTATGCTCAAGAATATTTCCTGACTGTGCTTGGGGGAACACGTTCATTGCTAGGGTCAAACCAGATTTCACTACATGAAAGTGACTTTACCCCTGCAGCACCACTCTGACTCCTCTATTAGCTCCTGTACTAGCTCTCCACCCCAACATAGAAAGCTTTTAAAGGTTTCAACACACTGAGATAGCTTCCAGCCACAGCCATGCTCAAGACCACTCTCCACACATTCAGACGAGCCTCACGCATGAAGGAACTGGCAGAGGAACCCAGGTGTGCAGGACCGGGGGCGTAGATCTCCCAGCCTGCTCGGATTGGGACTGGGGCCTCCTTCACCCAGATCCGCCATCTTCCAGTATGTAGGTGTTACACCCACCAACTGCCCTGGCGCCATGTAATCCCATCCACAGCCAAGGCCCAGAGACTATGAAACCCTGTTCCTGGAAGCGTGTGGCCGCATTCACGGGCACGCGACATCTTATCTAGCTCTTACTCTGGAGAACCTGGCAGGCTACCAAAAGGATCCTGCCCACACAGCAGAGTCTGACAAACTCCATGTGGTGTATTCAATATGCCAAAACCCAGGAATAGTTGGGTCTCATTCTCCGACCCTGATAGAGCCTCGAATGTGGCACTTTTTAAAATCTCAGGGCTAGGACGAAGGAGATGATACTGGGGAGATGATTGCCTGCTCGAGGCAATCGATGAACAGGATGACAGTGATACAGTGATAGAGTGAGACAGGTGCTGCAATTTTTGCTAATTAAGCAATAGCTAATTGTGAATCACATGGTTGGTTGGTTGGTGGTTTTTAAAAAAAAGAGTTATAGGTCAGAGTGATCATACAGCAGATAGGGTATTTGCCTTATGTATAGCTGACCCAAATCCAATCCCTAACATGTCATATGGTCCTCCAAGCAATCACCAGGTATAATTCCTGAGTGTAGAGCCAGGACTAAGTCCCAAGCACCACCTGAAATTGCCCAAAAAACCAAGATCAAAACAAAAACTGATTCAAGTTTTAAAAAATTCAAAAAAAAACTTTAAGTTCTTAAGATTTTCCTATTCTAAGAGCAATATGGAAATTTATTAGAACAAGCATTACAAGTTTTAAAAGTTGAGAATACACCAAGGAATTAGCAATGGGATAGAAGAATGAAGAACAGAAACAGATTTGGTGAGGGAAAGATACTGGTTTGAGATGTAAGATTATGATTTTCCAGTTATTTTCTTTTGCTTTCTTAGGAGATACACAGTGCTGAAGTACTAAGAGAACATCAAGTAATATGGAAGACTGTTGAACATAAGACAGAGTTTAGAACTGTTCTTGAATGAAAATCAGGAACCAAGACTGGGAGACTTTCCAGTGACCAAAGTACCTATTTCTGTTAGCAGTAGGCTGCAAGTTCAACCCCAGAGTTGTCCACATGTGCCAAATGGCAACTCTGCCTTCTGAGCCTGGCAGCTCAGAATCCCTGCTCTGCTGGGATTCCAAATGCTACAGTGATTGCTGGCTGGGCCACAAACAGGTGTCAGGCACCCAGCATGGCAAATAAAAGGATCATCAAGCATGACTTATGAGCATGACACAGCTGGTGGGACATATATAGTGGACACAATTCTCAGTCCATGACTTTCAGCAAGCACATGTGCAAGCAACAAAACCAAGGGATTGTGTGAAATCTCAGTAAAAACAGAGAAGGAAAGGAAGACAGATTTGAGCAAACAAAATAAAAAGTCAGGATAATGTCACTGAGGAAAACCAAAGGTAAAAAATACAAGGCAGTATATTTTGGGAAACAGTATCAACATAAGGAATAGAAAGAAATGACTCAGAAATTAAGCTGTGTGGAAATTAACGGGTGAGGCAAGAGCATTATCAGAAAACAGAGGAGAGCATCAAAAAGAAACTGCTGAGTATCAAAAGATTTGACTAATATGGAGAGTTTACTCAACTCAGAAATCAAAAAGGTCAGCAGTCACTTCATCAAGGGAATTTTCATTGGGAGAACAGATCTGGAGCAGAAATTAGAGAACAGAAAACTTATGAAAGGCAATTAAGGTCAGAAAACACCATTTCCAGAGATAGTAGAGAAAGGAAGAAAGGAGGCAGAATTCTGTGACTTACACAAGAAATAAATTCTACAGGGGAGAAAAAAAAACCCTTAATTCATACAGTGAATTAAGTGATGGAGAAAAGCAAATGAGATAAAAGTGGTTATAAAACAGACTAGGAATAATTAAGGAGATGTACGGCCTCAGACAAATAACTTAAAAGCCTCTAGGTTTCTATTTGTCTATGAAATAAAGTGTAAGGGGAGAGATCTCAATATTAATGTTGCTTGCTTCCTCATCCGTAATTTTTACCACCTAAAATGCCTCAATCAAGAGACACATTCAGACCCTGATCAGTTTCAGAAAGAGCAGCAAACACTTGGGGGAAAAAACCTGTCACTGTCACTGTCCTCCCGTTGTTCATCGATTTGCTCGAGCAGGCACAGTATCGTCTCTACTGTGACAATTGTTACTGTGTTTGGCATATTGAATGCGTCACGGGTAGCTTGCCAGGCGTGGCTGTGCGGGCGAGATACTCTCGGTAGCCTGCTGGGCTCTCAGAAAATCACTAATATAGGGACCGGATACAGTAGATGTGCTGCCTTAACAGCCAACCCGGGTTCAATTTCTGCTACTACTCCAAGAGGGGCGGAGGAATCGAACTTGGGTTGGCCATGTTGGCCACTTGCAAAACAAAGGCCCTACCTGCTGTGCTAAAAACAAAAAACAAAAAAACCCTATGCCACAGTCCAATCCTCAGCAGTTATTTCCCAAGAGTGCCAGTTGAGGGGCAAATGCCCTACCCGCAATAGTACAGTGGGCAGGCCATTTGCCTTGCACGCAGCTGACCTGGGTTTGATTCCCAACAATCCAGATGGTCCCCCGGGCACTGCCAGAAGTAACTCCTGAGTGCAAAACCAGGAGTAACCCCTGTACATCATGGGTATAACCAAAATAAAGCAAAAAAAAAAAAGTGCCAGTTGATGTCTGAAACTGATTATAGTACTGGACCCTATATATACTTTCCCCCACGCTTACATATGATAAGACACAATTCAGAAAATAGGCACAGTAAACAATAACATAATTAAACAATTGTAATAAAAAATATACAATGTGGCCTCTTTCCCGGCCTCCAGTACTTTTCTGTATATCCAGGACAAACAGAAAATCACTAATATAGGGACCTGATACAGTAGATGTGCTGCCTTAACAGCCGACCTGGGTTCAATTTCTGGTACCCCATATAGGCCACCATACCTGTCAGGAGTGAACCGTTAGTGTAGATTCAGGAGTAAGCCCTGAGCACTGCCAGGTGTGGACAAAAAGACAAAACAACAAAAACAAAAAGAAAATCACTACTGTAGTCCAATTTCTTCATTTTTAAAGTGGAAAAATTAGTGAGACAAAATAGGTAGTGCAGAAGTGAAAGCTGGTTCAATCCCTGATACCATCTAGTGCAGTCCCAACTCCCCACCCAGAAACAAAAATAAAAATACTTTTTTCCCCCCTTTTTGGGTCACACCCAGTGTTTACTCCTGGCTCATGCACTTGCACTCAGGAATTACTCCTAGCGGTGCTCGGGGGACCATGTCAGATGCTGGGAATTGAACCCAGTCGGCCGCGTGCAAGGCAAAGGCCCAACCCGCTGTGCTATCACTCCAGCCCCAAAAATTATAGTTAAGGGGTTAGCTTATGAACAATATAGCCGATTTTCAGGTGTCATGATTAAGATCAAGTAAAAAGACTACATCTCTTATTAATAACGTGTTTTTAAATATAAGCTAACCTGTATTTCTAACCATTTCCTTATGTGTATACAATTCTGTAAATTTTCCTGCTTTTAAACTTAGTATTTTGTTATGCTATCCAAAATTATCTTTAGGAAGGGCGTGTGTGTCGGGTGTGTGTGTGCGTGGGGGGGAAATTGGTTTTTTTTAATCCTTAAAGAAAGACCACAGACACTTACCCAAACCAAAAGGGTTGCTAGTGGTAGAACCTGATGTAGAGTTACTATTGGAAGCTGATGATGTGACATTGCTTCCACTGGAATTTGTTTGCTGAGCTGAATGATCCTGAGGCCTGGAGAAAATAAAACATATGTGAAGAGCAGAGCTAATTTTAAAATGATCTCTGAAATTTTGATAACTAAAGGTTATTAACACCTGGATATAGCCAAGCACACAAAACATCAATGCAGCACTACTATGTTACCTAAACTACAGTAAAATTTTTTAAAATTTAGATATTTAGCAATGAGGGGAAAAGAAACATATATAAAGTAAAAACTTACAAAATCCAACTATGCTTCAACTGCCCTTCCAGAAGTATACTATAAATATTTAATTACTTTAAATTATATTGATGATGTAAAAAATATCACACCAAACAGAAAACAATTATTAATCACATCCAGAAAGTTTGACTGTATAAACAACTCCACCACTTTCATGAGTTCTGAATCAGACCAGACCAATAGTATAGAAGGTAAGGTGTTTGCCTGGCACACGACTGACCCAGGTTCAATCCCCAGCATCCCATATGATCCCCAAGCCTGCCAGGAGTGATTCCTGAGCACTGCTGGGTATAACCAAAAAGAAAGAAAGGAAAATGTTCTGAATCTAAACTATTTCTTTCATTAATTCTTAGATATATATTTTTTTTTCATTTTAACAACTCCGAAATCAGTAATCATCTCATAGTAACTAAAAGTCAGGCATTACTATGCCTGTAAACGTTATACATCTACAACTAATGTATACATCTACAACTACAGATATGTAAATGTATACATCTACAACTAATGACAAAGTACACTGTTGTACCTGTATGCTGTTAAATTACCAGTGTAACAGAAAGATGACAACTATCTGGCAATAAAATGAAGTTACAGCGTATTTAAAAAGAATAGAAAGAAAACATTTTCTATTACTGGAGCAGTATTTTTGGGGAGTGGGGGGTTGGGAGGGGGGCACACCCGGTGATGCTCAGAGGTTACGTTACCCCTGGATCTGCATTCAGGAATTACTCCTGGCCACGCTCAGAGGATCTTATGCGGTTCCGGGTATCACATTTAGGTTGGCCTCATGCAAGGCAAGCGCATTCCCTACTGTACCATCTCCCTGCCCCATATTTTAGTGTTCTTATAAGAGCCTGAAGATGACTCAATGACTTAAGCCAAATGCAAAGCCATCAATTCAAACTCAGGTGCCACTCACAAGCAATGAGACAATCCTGAAAGTCCTGCTACTGTCTCCAGAGGGTAAGAGCCTGGAATTAGCTCAGTGGCTTAGGAAGCACCCAAGGCAATCATGAGGTCTTAAGTGCCATGTAAGTGTCAAAGCAGTACTGACCATGCCTAGTCTTGAGTCTGGAAGGAAAGGGGGGGAAGGGGGAAAAAAAAAAAGAACAGTAGAGTCTCTTCCCATATGACAAAATACAGACACCAATGACCAAGTTAAAAGGTGATTCAACAGGCTCAGATCCAATATAAAGCTGTGGCTACAAGAAGAATTTAGCCAATTCATTTCATGCGTATTTTCTTTGTATTTATACCTAAGAGAAATAAGATAAAATGCTATATCCCAATAAAGGACTCTTTCAGTCTTTAAGACTCCTGGTGCCAGGCCAAGAAAAAAGGTGCGAGAGCATGCACATGCAAAGCTCGTAGTTCAATCCTTGGCTCCAGCACTGTATTATCAAGCCTGCACATTCCAAGTTTCCTAACAATACTGAGAAGAACATTAAAAAAATTTAAAAAAGAAAAAGCATTAATGATGAATTAGATTTAATGAACTATGGTCACTGATTTTGAGTGACCATAGCCAAAATGAGTCAATCTGTCCAAATATCTTCCCTAAAACAAAAAACAAAGCCAAAAGTACTAATTTGTTTGTTCTATAATTAAAATTAGTTTAAATATAATAACTTGGTACTGATAAAATGTCTAAACATGAAAGCTTGAGTATTATCGAATTACATTGTTTTTTTTTAAAACACTTCTCAGCAGCAACAAATTAATTCCTTTACATTTTAATGACAGAGAAAGCCACAAAAGATTAGTTATTTAAAAATAAAAGAAATACAGAGCTGGGGAGATGGTTCAAAGGGATGGAGAACATACTATATGCATTTGGGTTTGTATCCTAACACTCACTACACGATCCCCTAAGCACCCAGTCAGAAATAGCCTCCTGAGCACAGCTGAGTGTAGACCAAACCAAAAGGAAAAAACCAAGGGGGAGGAGGAGGGCAAAGAGAAAGAAAAAGTGGTGAAAACACTTTTGGGATCAGATTGATATGCTACTGGGTAAGCCTTGCACACTGCTGACCAGGGCACCCCACACCTTTCTCAGTGACCCCTGAGAGCGGAGCCAGGAATAAGTCCTGAGCACTGCCAAATGTGACCCCCAAACAAAAGGAGATGCAAGCATTTAGTCACAGCTTTTGATGTATCCTCTAAAAACATACTTGTTTGGGAGCCACAATAGCTGACCGATAAGAGTACTAGCTTCACATATGAAACTCTGGTTCAATCTCTGAAACTAAAACTTATAAAATAAAAACATACCTGTTTTGCGTTTTGATGACAAGGTGAACAGTAAGTCCATCATGAATTCCATGCTGACTTAAAGTATCTTGATCTTTTAAAATTTTTCCAGCAAATATCAACACAAGTTGGTCAGTGTGTGACTTGAAACGTTTAGAGATTTCTTCCTTAAACTAAATAAAATAAAAATAAATTATGTACCAAGGTGATTTGCAGAGCATCGCTTAATCTAGCCTTACAGAGGCCTCCTAATCAGAAAACTTGCAGCAATTCAATTATAAAGATGCATCTTCTCTATGTCATTTTCTGGTTCTTAGAAGGAAATCAGTATTACCACATCAATTATTTCGATGCACAGATTTTATTACAGGTGCACATCTTCTGGTACCTTCTAAGTTATAACAATTCCTTTATGATTTCTTTTTTTTACATAAATAGTTCAAGCTACATAGAGCTCTTACAACATCTGTAGTAATGTATTAAATTTTTTTTCTTCCTTTTGAAATGAGCAGTGTAACTTCATTTTTTTTTTCATACTAAAACTCCGAAACGTCCATTCAATACTAACAAGCAATGTTAGGCAGATGTAAAGATACAAAGCAAGTATCTTTCCTTTAAAGTCATTGAAAATCTCAACCAAACCGCCCCGCCCTTCCCCCACCCCCACTCTCAAAGTGACAGCTGAAGAAGTCTTTTCAATGAAAACTAAAGATTTAGGAGATACTCCAAGTAAAAAAGGATTTACAGGAACAAGACTAAACGCAAAAGCAGACAAGTAAAACACCGCCATCAGTTTAGACACACCATCAGATTAGACATGGTCAGAAAAATCCAGTGCCCTAATCTGCCTCTGTACGACTAATATACAGGAGGTACTACTAAACCTCCCTTACCGGGGTTTTCTATTTCTGACCCTCTAAACCATATATTTTCTCTCTTTCCCTGTACTCCCACAAATGTTTTACAAAATTTTTTCCATTGAATCACCGTGATAGTTACAAAACTGTTCATGATCGGGTTTCAGTCATACAGTATTCCAACATCCATCCCGCGACCAGTGTTCATTTCCCAGCACCAATGTCCCCAGTTTCCCTTCCGCCACCCTCAATTCCCCAAACCCGAGTCTGTCTCTCTGGCAGGCTCTTTCTCTCCCCCCACTCTTTACACCCATACTTTTTAAGACTAGGTGAGCTGAATTTTATCTTTAGGAAATTAAAGTTAAAAGAAAAAGAATGATTTTTAAAAAGTGTCTCCTATAAAGAAAAGCGTAGTCTATGCCAGATAAGCACTTCTCAAAATTACTGAAAGTTACATCTAAATCAGAAGTTTCCCAACATATTTGGTGTACTAATCCCTTTTTAGTAAAAAAAAAAAAAAAAAAGAAAAGAAAGAAAAGAAAAAAAGAAAGAAAATCACTCCATACCTACCTAGAGATCTGCCTTCTTCATGAGAATAAGCAGAAAGCTTCACCAGTTGCATCAGAGGCTACAAACCCTATTTTATCCAGGGCCCTACCCACTTCCAGGAAAGACTGGTCTAAATAAACCACAGGGTGATACGAGAAATCTGTATTAATAAACTCGGGGAATCATGACTCCAAAATCAGAAAAGAACCATATCTTATGGTTAATGGGGACTAGAGGCATAGTACAGCAAGTAGGGCACTGGCCCCTGAGTATAGCCAGGTATCACTCAAAAACAGAAACACAACAAACAACAAAAAGAATCATGTCTTAAAGTGCCCCAAAGCCTTAAAGAAGCATATCTCAACAGATGAAGGTCTACAGGGCTATTTGAAGTGGACACAAGGGATGTTAAATAATTGAAGATGTTTAAAAGTCTGGCAGAGACAGAAAAGAGAAGGTGTAGGGAAATATATATAAAATAAACTATGCCAGATATCAATGTTGGAAAAGGTGCATCAAATGTCCTAATTCTACCATTGTGTATGAATCAAATTTGCATAATCAAAGTTATAATACTAGGGCAGGAGAGAGTGTACAGGGTTAGAGAAGGCATTGTCTTAGAAATGTGGCTCTTATTTGATCCCTGATACCACATATAGTCCCTTAGACACAGAACTAGGAGTGAGCCCTGAGCAGAACCCCATCTCAAAAAGTCACAACACTCAATATAAGCAACTTAAAGGTGGAGCGATAGCACAGCGGGTAGGGCGTCTGCCTTGCACGCAGCCAACATGGCCGACCCGAGTTCGATTCCTCCGCCCCTCTCGGAGAGCCCGGCAAGCTACCAAGAGTATTCGATATGCCAGACACAGTAACAACAAAGTCTCCAATGGAGATGTTACTGGGCCCGCTCGAGCTCGAGCTCGAGCAAAGGTGGGGGTGTGTGTGGAAAGAATAGAAGTTCAAGTTCATGAAAAATTATGTAGTACACTAAATACCTGCTCCTTTTTCACTCTCAGCTCTTTTAATGCAAATAAACTTTTGATATGGTTTTTAATCCTATTTCATATACAGATACAGAAACAGATTCAACATTCCCCACCTCTTAAAGGGCACAACTAATTAACTATCGAATTAGGATGCCTAACAGTTTGCAAGCACCTAGGTAGATTACTGAAATTCAAAGAAAGATAAATGTGGAGTTTAAATTATTCTGAGGCCTCTTCACTAACTGGAAAGACGTATATATACTTAAGACAATCGCTTAAAAGTTGATTGTGAATGCCCTGTAAGACACAGACAGAACTCAAAACAGAGGTGGTCAACTCCCTTGCACATTCCTTTTTTTTTACAAAGCTGTTCATGATTTGGATTTCAGTCATACGGTATTCCAAAACCCATCCCTCCACCAGTGTGTATTTCCCAGCACCAGTGTCCCCAGGTTCCCTTCCATCATACCCTACCCTCTTCTGCCTGCCTCTATGGCAGGTATCTGTCTGCCTGCCTGCCTGCCTGTCTTTCTCCCTACCCCGCCCCTCCCTTTGGGCATTGTGGTTTGCACTACTGATACTGAAAGGTTATCAAGAAAATTCCTTACCTACTTTTAACCCTCCAATTTTGCACAGTGTGATCATTCCCAGCTATTATTGTCATACTGGTCTCTTCTCTATCCTACCTACCCTCACCCCCTACACACACTTATGGTTAGTTCCAACCACTGACCAGTCCTCCTAACCCGTTTTCCCTGGCCATGGATATTATTTTTACTATATGTATTTTTTATATACCACAAACGAATGCAGTTGTTCTGTATTTGCCCCTTTCCGTCTGACTTATCCATGTCCATCCATTTATAAGCAAATTTCATGACTTCATTTTCCTGACAGCTGCATAGTATTCCATTGCGTAGATGTGCCATAGTTTCTTGATCCATTTGTCTGCTCTCAGGCACTCAGGATGTTTCCAGATTCTGGCAATAGTAAATAGTGCTGCAATGAACACATGAGTGCAGATGGTGTTTCTGCTGTGCGTTTTTTGGACCCCAGAGCGTATTCCCAGAAGTGGTATTGCTGGGTCAAATGGGAGCTCAATTTCTAGTTTTATGAAAAACACCCTATTGTTTTCCAAATAGGCTGGACTAGTCGGCATTCCCACCAGCAGTTAAGGAGAGTCCCTTTCTCCCCACATCCATGACAATATCGGTTGCTTTTGTTCTTTAGGATGTGTGCCAGTCTCTGTGGTGTGAGATGATATGCTGTTGTTTTGAATTGCATCTCCCTGATGATTAGTGATGAAGAGCATTTTTTCATATGCCTTTTAGCCATTTGAATTTCTTCTCTGAGAAAGCTTTTGTTCATTTTATCACCCCGTTTTTAGATGGGATTGGATGTTTGTTTCTTGTTCAACCAGTGCCTTGTTTGTTTATCTTTGATATTAACACCTTATCAGAAGGGTGTTGGGTGAATGTCCTTTCCCATTCCTCAGGCTGTCTTTGTATCCTGGTCACTGTTTCCTTTGAGGTACAAAAGCTTCTTCGTTTAAGATAGTTCCAATTGTTTATCTCTGTTTCCACTTGGTCAGTGGCGTTTCATCTTTGAAGATATCTTTAGCTTCAGTATCATGGAAGGTTCTGCTGACCTTTTCTTCAATGTACCTTATGGATTCTGGTATAATGCTGAGGTCTTTAATCCATTTTGATCTGACTTTTGTGCATGGTGTTAGGTAGAGGTCTGAGCCCATTTTTTGCATGTAGCTGTCCAATTTTGCCAGCACCATTTGTTAAAGAGGCTTTCCTTGCTCCACTTTATACTTCTTGCTCTCTTATTAAAGATTAGATGTTCATATATTTGTGGATGTGAGGATCCCTATTCCACAATAAAGACAGGTCTGAGGATCTGTCTTTATTCCAATACCATGCTGTTTTGATTATTATCACTTTTGTAATAGTTTGAGATTGGGAATGATGATGCTTCCCATCCCCCTTCCCCGAACTACTTTAGCTATTTATGAGGCTTCTTGTTCCATATGAATTTCATATGAACTGGATCAATTTCCATATGAATATGATCAAGAAATGTTAGATCAACTTCTTTGAAGAATTTCATGGGTATCATTATAGCGATGGCACAGAATCTGGAAAGTATTGTCATTTTGACAATGTTAATTTTTCCAGTCCGTCTCATAATGGAGACGTTACTGGGCCCACTCGAGCAAATCGATGAACAACGGGAAGACAGTGTCAGTGACAATTTTCCTGCTGGTGCATTCCATTTTAAGAGACTTAACTAGCTAGAAAACAAAGATACACGTTGTCATCTGAAAAAACTTACGATGAAGATGTTCTCAATTTTAAGCAGACCAAGGGCGAGAGTGCTAATACAGGAGGTAGGGCACTTGTCTTACACACAGCAGACTGGGGTTTGATGCCCAGAACCCATATGATCCCCCCAAGTCCTCAGCGATCCCTGAGCAGAGCCAGGAGGAAGCCCAACCAAGCTGTCTCCTCCCCCCCGGCCACACCCCACAAAAAAGACCAGAATGGTGAAACACAGGAAATAAGAATACAAATATGATCACCCATGAATAACAGCCATCAATGTGGCACTATCTGTGGACAGACACGTAAGAATTAATACCTGAAACAATCATTCTCAAAACTTGGTACATGATACTACCTAGTTCTGTTAAGAGCTTAATAATTAAGGACTGGAATCCCTTTTAACCAGAAGTTGTTTGGCACCTGACTGTTTACCAGGTCAATTCTTGTC